TGCTCTTAACAGCTGAGCCATCTCTCCAGTCATTGTCATATCTATGTCGGAAAAAAGATAGAATTCCAGGGGTACAGCAATTCAGCCAAACAGAACATGTGGTCACCAGATATGCACCAGAACACAAGCAGCTACACCTCCCAGAGTAAGAAAGAAGATACAGATTACAGCCTTCAAAATGTATGGGTTCCTTTTGTTACGGTTTGAATCTGAACTATCCTGAAAGATCACGTGATCAAAGCTGGCTGACAGGGCTTCTCAGAAGTGATTGTCTGGATCATGAGGGCTCAAAACTCAGCAGATCCATTAATGGGTTCATAATTGATGGCATTATTGACAGTACATGCTGGCCTAGCTGGAGGAAATACATCAGTTAGGATATTCCCTGAGAGGGTTGTATTTTGTCCCTGGCAGTCTGTCTGTATGTCCATCCGTCTCTACTACCCAAATACCATGAGGTCAGCAATTCTGTTTCATCCTCTCTGCTACGATCTGACACAGCACAGGCCCTTGTCTTTTTCACAGAGGTAGACCAATGACTGAGATGGACTTGCCATGGACCACAGACCTCCCAAACTGGGAGCCTAAACAAGCCTTTCCTCCTGTGACTCTTCTCAAAGGTACTGTTCCGCAGCAATGAACGGTAACACTTCTATCATTAGAAAGTTGTCATCTTTTCAGACCTTGATAGAGGGAGGAGCAGACCTTGGGAGAGGAGTCCCTAAGAAAGAGACCTTAGCTGGACATAGAGGCACATAGTGAGTTCCAGGACAGCCAAAGCTACACAGTGAGACTGAACCCCCGTCCTCCCCCCCAAAAAAATCTGGGTGGTGATGACACACACCTTTAATGACAGCATTGGGGAGGCAGAGGCAGGTGATCTCTGTGAGTTCGACACCAGTCTGGTCTACAGAGTGAGTTCCAGGACAGGCTCAAAAGCAACAGAGAAACCCTGTCTTAAAAAGCCAAAGAGGCCTTGCCAATTCCAGGAAATTAAAGTGTTCCTCCCCTCTCTTGCCTTCTCAGGACCCATAGCCTAATTACTGAATCATGCTTTCTAACATGACATCCAAGGTTGCCAACTGCCCAAAAACATATCTCTTTCCACTTTACAGAAATTAACACCATAAAGCCACAGCCATCCCTCATTTGAGGTGCCAACCACTATCTAGTCAAAACAATCACAAGACTTGACAACCAACTTTCAACTTTCACCAATTCAGGAGGGAAAATGCTGGAATTTCTAACTTAGATGACTATGTACATATTTCAAATCACATCATCAGGAATTCCTAATCTCCTGGTTGTGTTGCTACATAAAAATTCCAGTACCAGCACTCAGAGCAGTGGTTCTCAGCCTCCCTAATACTGTGCCCCTCTAATAACATTTCTCATGTTTTCATTGTTACTTCCTAACTGTCATTGTGCTTCTGTTATTAATTATAATGTAAATATCTAATATGCGGGATACCTGATATGGAGCCCCTGTATAAGGGTCATTCAAGCACTGATTTAGAAGAAGCCAGATCTCTGAGTTTAAGGCCAGCTGGTCTACACAGCAAGTTCCAGGACAACTCAATACCAAGTGTGAGGTACCTCCCCTTGAGTTGTTGGTCAGAGGTGTCCTAGAGACCCTAAGAACAATACAGGCCATTGTCATTGGTCTTTGATGCCCACCAAAACTTTGATGGGAAGACCCTATTGTTGAAGACACCACACACATCTGGTCACAGAACATGGAGAAATTAGGTGGTACTGACCAGGAAGCCTCCTCACTGCTGGCGAGCTTCTACAGTTACTGGAAGTTACTATGTAGGTGGCCGAAGACTAGAGGGAGAGTCACCAACAATCTTACTGAGCCTTTAACCCTGTAAACTATAACACTAACCAGAACAGCAAGATATGCCCAGAGATACAATAGTGGCATGAATTCCAAGTATAACTGGCTGCTTTCTGATTGTATTTAAGGCCCAATCGACAAGGGGAAACACATGCCTGGCACTGTAATCTGGTCAAGAACGCATGGTGGGGGAGTTCACAGGGCCCAGGGATGAACTCACTACTATTATCCTGCTAAATGTGCATATTATCAAACTGTCCTCTGAATTCACATCTCTGCACCCATACATCAGTGCAGCTCTCAGACCCCATCAGAGAAGTTTCTCTGTGCAGTGGGCAGTGGTTAATGTGGACGCTCACAAGGTGATCAAAGCGTGGAGAATACATGTCATTGGAGGGCTCGGTCACAGGCGGGACATCTATCACACGCACACATCACAAACTCACTCGTACGCATGCGCCTCCTGGACAGGATGGGACCACTGCTCTCAGGAACTCACAGTGCCTATGTAGCTTTTGTGTATGCACAAATCACGTAGGCCCTGTTTGTACCATGAAGGATGAAGGAGCTCATGAGTACCAAACACCTAACTGAGGCGCTATAGACAGTCGATGGCTTCTGGGGAAGGGGAAAATCAGTCCTCTTTAAGGGTGCAGACCCTGGAAGTGGATTATCCCACACCCATAAATATACGAACAACACACAAATTGGCCTCCAAGTTTTGGGGGGGGGGGTTATATAACTTTTTTTAAAAAAAAAAAGAATACAAAATGTGGGAGAATAGGTTTTGTGCATATATCTCAAGACACAGGATGTTAGAGTTGGAGAGATGGCTCAGAGGTTAAGAGCACTTGCTGCTCTTCAAAGAACCTAGGGTTCCATTCCCAGAACCCACATAGTGGGTCACAACCATATGTAACACTAATTCTGTAGAATTCAACACCTTCTTCTGACCTCCACAAGCAATGCACACACATGCGACAAACACAAATTCATGCAAAATATCTATACACATGAAATAGAAATTAACCCGGTTTTTAGAAAAAGGATTAAATTTAAAACAAACCAAAAAAAGGCACAGAATATTAAACAGGAAATAAAACAACAAGATGTTCTAAAGGAAGGTAAATCATCCTGCAAAACACCCCTTAAGCTCAGGAAGTGCTGAAACTGAGCAGATTCAACAAGGTTCTCCCTCCCCAAGCATATACAAGCAACAAGGACTACTGAGAGACATTCTTAGACAAGAAAACTGCCTGGAAGCAGCAGAGGTCAGGATGGATAACTGGAAAAGCTCGGATCAACTGAGGTTCCTGGAAAAGGCAGTCTCCTACCTGCTGAACGTCACCTACACATCTGCAGTGTGTGCAAGGTTCCTGAGCTGTCCTCTACACACTTGCAGTGTGTGCCAAGGTTCCTGAGCTGTCCCCTACACATCTGCAGTGTGTGCAAGGTTCCTGAGCTGTCCCTACACATCTGCAGTGTGTGCAAGGTTCCTGAGCTGTCCCCTACACACTTGCAGTGTGTGCCAAGGTTCCTGAGCTGTCCCCTACACATCTGCAGTATGTGCAAGGTTCCTGAGCTGTCCCTACACATCTGCAGTGTGTGCCAAGGTTCCTGAACTATCCCCTACACACCTGCAGTGTGTGCAAGGTTCCTGAGCTGTACCCTACACATCTGTAGTGTGTGCAAGGTTCCTGAGCTGTCCCCTACACATCTGCAGTATGTGCAAGGTTCCTGAACTGTCCCCTACACATCTGCAGTATGTGCAAGGTTCCTGAGCTGCCCCCTACACATCTGCAGTGTGTGCCAAGGTTCCAGAGCTGCCCTCTACACACTTGCAGTAGGGGCCAAGGTTCCTGAGCTGCCACCTACACATCTGCAGTGTGTGCCAACGTTCCTGACCTGTCACCCATGCTGGAGTGGGCTTTGGTGATGAGGCTGTCTTTGAGTCATTTCTGTTCCTGTAAGTGACCCCTCACCCATATTCCTATAAGTAATCACAACAAAACTCACTAGTGGAGCCAGATGAACTTTGGGGGCAGCCATACAGTGATCTGTCACTATTAATTTCCTATCTGAGGTGAGCAGACGCTTGTTCAAGTCTCCCCAGGAACAGTGTTACGCAACAGTAGGAAGGAATGGGTGAGTCTGGGGGATATTAGGGCGAGGTGTAGAGAGTAAATAGGGAATTTATTTGCATGAAATTCCCCAAGAATAATATTTTTAATGTTTTTGTTAATTTTTATTTCCTTTTTATGGTGTTTTGCTTGTATGTATGTCTGTGTGAGGGGATCAGATCCTCTGGAACTGGAATTACACACAATTGTGAGCCACCATATAGGTACCCAGATCCTCTGGAAGAGCAGTCAGGGCTCTTAACCACTGATCCCTCTCACCAGCTTCAAGAATAAGATGTTTTTAAAGAATCCAAACATTCCCAGATTTCCCAACACAGGTTCAATCAGCCTTTACAAGAATCCCTGGCTTGTATGTCTGACATAACTCAAGCAGGCAGTGCTGACCACCTTAGCGCAGAGACTACCTCCTACTTACATTTTAGCTACACAGGACATTTGTAAGGGTTTGTTTGTTTCGTCAGAACCCAGGATTTTACCCAGTGAACTATAATACAACCCTGTCTGAGGATTTCATTCCCATACCATACCATGTGTCCCCATGATCTCTACAAACCCCAGCATAAACTGCTTCTGAGATGACTCAAAACCTCACAACTGCTACCACCTCAGGGACACCACACTACAGAAAGGAATCCCAGCTACGCTAAGCGTATTTCTCTTTAAGGGCCTATAAAGTAACCCCGTGAGTCCAAAACCAGCACCAGGCAACCCCCTCAAATTTCCAAACTTATATTAAGGAATCCTACCAGCCCAAAACTGGCACCAGTGACCCCTATGAGTGCCACAAACTAGTGCCAGTCAACTCCACAAGCCCAGCAGCACAAAGGGTGGTCACTTCTCATTCAGAGGCCTTCCAAGACCAAGCAGCAGAACTGCCTGCTCCCTCAGGCAGGGCAACGGGATCAGACTTCATCGGAGCACAGACACACATGAAACGTGTAACAGTGTATGAGGTAAGCAGGCTTAGAATGTACCAGGCACATCTCAGTCAACAGCCCTGCACAGCCCACGACACTTACTTAGAAACAAGGACAGCAGCTGCATCTCGAGCCTTGTCACTGACGACCAAATAGGACTGCAAAAATTTGACAAATTTCAATTCAGTATTCTTTCGTTATTTTCCAGATTGCCTACAATTATGTAGTATTTACAATATATTTATACAATAGTCAGAATTAAATGTAAAATGAAGTTTCCCTAACCATCGCCCCTGAAACCCCTTATATACCACCATTGTGCTTAGCAAATATTTGTATTATCTATAAAGAAACAAGATTTACTCAAGTAATTCATCTAATCTCTACATAAGTTATCACAGTTTCAAAGTAAGCTGAGGTGGGATTTTACCCAAAGAAAGCTGAGATATCACTGACAGCAAGAATGTCAGTCAAGCAAATATAAATATACGCATCAAAAGTTTATCTAACCAAACCCATTTCAGGACAATGAAAGTGTGAACAAGTGTACAATTAACTGCGAAAGGGCTCTATGATCATAGTTACCTGTGCTACTTGCAGAATACGGTCCATTATGGGTGTTCGTGTTTCTCCAGGTTGAGCGGGAAGGTTCCCATCAAGGCGTGAGAAGTCAAAAGGGATCAAGCAGGTCACAGAGAGCCACAGTAAAAGCATGTAGCGTGTTTCCCATGTCTAAGGAGTTAAATCACAGTCAGAATGCTTCCAGTATAGAAGACAAAGGCATATGGCACCCACCCACATGTAATCCCAACATTCAGAAGGCTGTGTCATGAGGATGTCAAGTTCAAAGCCAGCCCATACCACACAGTAAGTTCTCGGTTAGTCTGGGTTACATAACAAGAACCTACAATAATCCCAAATAATAATTAAAGAGAGAGAGAACAATATCCAGTTGCACTCCACTGACCATCCTATTAGCCTCCCATCAACTGAATGCCTACGCTTACACACCATCAACCCCATACTCGCTATAAACACAACTCTGTGATGTGTGTCCGCCTAGGGTACCACGGACCTGTGGTGGTCTTGGAGACCTGGCACAGGTATACTCTTTGCTTTTTAAAGGATTGTAGTGTGGATAGAGCAACATGTGTAGAAGCTAAAGAAGCAGCAGGAATTTTTTTTTAACAGGCTAAGATAAAACCAAGGAAGGCTGGAAGAGAGAGTTGCGAGTGATAGTGGAGCCAGGAGGGCGGGCTTGGGCGGGACTCACCTCATGGTCCTTAGGATTCTGACCTGTGCACATGTCTAACACAGGCTGGACATTAGCTACTTCATGAGGAAATAGACGTAGAAATACTTTATATCCACGAACCTGACAAATAAAAAGACTTTAGAATACGAAGAATATAGACTATAGCGTATAATTAGAAAACAGAAAGAGTAGCAGAGTCATCTTGATATTTTTATATCAAGAAAGCCATTGTCTGTGTCCCCCAATGACTGAGAAGATCCTATCATACTACAGCGACAAAACTCAGCAAGACCAAAGGGACAAGAAAGCTTGCTTGCTTTTTTTCTTTCTTTCTTAATATTCATTAAATATGTCCTGTCCCAATTTGGTTAACAAATCATACTGTGTGCACCAGAGACATAAGTATGTTAGAAACTAAAAACTTCTGCTTCTACCTTGTTCCAAGATCAGTCTCTGACATTTATGAAAACGAAGTTCCTATGCACCTCCAATGGCCCCACTAACACTTCTATAAAACATGCAGCATTATCTAACAGTCAAAGTGCTCACCCTGCTACATGGCAAGAATGCTAGAACATGGGCTCTGAGACTCACAAACTTCACAGAAATGACTCCAAGTTACTCCCTCATCTCTAAGTCTGGAGCCAGCACACGGGTATCACTGGAGAACTTGCAGAGAAAACAGATCGTCAGCCCCAGCCATTCTTCCTCAGAGCTGCATCCTAGGACTCCCCAGTAAATTTACCCCCTTTTCTATCTTACAAAGTACTATTATTACTAGTGCACACGCCTTCAATCCCAGCACTCGGGAGGCAGAGGCAGGTGGATCTCTGTGAGTTCGAGGCCAGCCTGGTCTACATAGTGAGTTCCAGGACAGTCAGAGATACATAGCAAGACTTTGTGTGTGTGTGTGGAGTGGGGGGCGAGCACTTCTATTTTCATCCAGCTTTTCCGCTTTTTCTTTATTCTAACTAAAGGACCCCAAGATCACTAAGACTTAAGACCCAACACATACTGAAAAGAGAATGAAAACCCAACTTGTGTTGAAGAACCACATCCGCCAAGATATAACACTTAAGGAAGTAACTTCTAGAGCAACTGGATGAGAAAGTGTCTGTCCGCTCTACAGCGCTGCACAAATGTTACCTTGGTGATGATATAAAGAAATTTAAAAGCCAGATGCACGAGGCCAGGCAGAGATGTCTCGTCCTGTACCAGGTCCAACAAGGAGTTCATCATCCACTCTAGGGGAAAGCAGATATAAATACTTAAATTAAATCAACGAGGAAATAAAAATGGTTGTGTTTGGGGCATACAAATGCTTCAGTCTCAGCAAGTCTGTGTGACCAAGTGTCAATACAGCAAAGTACACGCTCACCTCAGTCGCCTCTGAAAGAAAGGTTCGCGCCTTAACTCACACCCCCTTGTACAATACAGGGAAAATGTCTAAAATCGATATCTGACACCATGTTTTACAGGAACACCTGTTACAACTGCTCTGATTTAACAACAAACTAGGTTGAGCTAAGGCACTGAGACAGGAAAGAGAGGACAATGAGGGTAATGCGGAACACAGCCTTCTCCTGTCTGTACGGAGGCCCTGTCAGAGCCCAGGACAAGGAGAGCTTAATGCAAGGCAGGGCAGAGAGCAGACAGACGTCTAACAGGCTGTTAGCTGACAGTCGTGTAATGGAAGCACTCCGGCCACACTCCACTGACCCTCTTCCTGGATGGTCAACCCAATGGCAAAATAAACACTACAGACCATCAACCACATCCTCAGCGCAAGCAAGACTCTGTGCTGTGTCCTGTAAGACACAGGGGACACGAGGTGGCCTTGGACACCCAGCACTGTCACTGTGAGTTAAAAGGTACACTCTTGGCTCTATAAAAGCCATATTTTAAAGGATAAATACACTAAGATTATACAATTCCTTACATTTTATTTCTTTTTGTTGTTGTTGCTGTATGTCTCGTGGGTTTTGTTTTGCTTTGTGTTTTGGTCGTTTGATTAGGGTTTTGTCTGCTTGTTTTCTGTTTTTTGTTTTTTGAGACATGATCTTCCCATGTAATGAGGGCTGGCCTGAAATTCCCTACATAGATCACACTGGCCTTAAACTCACAGAGCTCTGCCTTGCCTCTGCCTCCCCAGTGCTCGGACTAAAGGGGTCCCACGTCCACCATGCCCAGTCTCATTTTTATTTCTTTAAAGAACACTTCAGTGTCATCTTGAGAGATGGCTCAGCAGTTAAGAGCACTTACTGCACCAGGTGGTGGTGGTGCACACCTTTAGGACCAGCACTCGGGAGGTAGAGGCAGGAGGATCTCTGCGAGTTCGAGGCCAGCCTGGTCTACAAGAGCGAGTTCCAGGACAGCCAGGGCTACAGAGAAACCCTGGCTCAAAAAACAAAAACCAAACAAACAAACAAAAAGAGCACTTATTGCTCTTGCAGAAGACCAGAATTTGGTTCCCTTGCAAGTCCAACTCCAGGGTTTCAAGCTTCCCCAAGCACGTGGACCACACATATACACATAATTAAAAATAAAATCTTAAAAAAAAAATTTGAGGGCCTGAAGCGATGTCTTGGCATTTAAGAGCACTGTCTGCTGGTCTTCCAAAGATCAGGGCTTGATTCCCAGCACCAACACGTTGGCTCACACCATCCGTAACTCAAGCTGCAAGGGCTCCAATGTCCTCTTCATACCTCTATGGCTACTGCACATCCATGGCTACTGCACATGTGGTACACTGACTGACATACTTGCGAGCAAAATTCCCAATAAATCTTTTATTTAAAAATTAAGTGTTTAAGGCAAAACTTATATCAAACTTATATCAAACATGTGTGTGACAAAAGTAAACAGGAGGAAGCAATGAAAGAATCTTCTAAAATTTTCCCCACCACACACAAAATGTGTATTATTTGAGGGTAGACTGTAGTAAGTTCAGGGTACATATGATAAATCCTGGAAAAAAAGAAAACAAAAAACAAAAACCACTGAACATATAGTGAAGATAAAATAAAGTGCCAAGCTGAGAGGTGGTGGCGCATGCCTTTAATCCCAGCCCTTGGGAGGCAGAAGCAAATGGGTCTCTGTGAGTTCAAGGCCAGCCTGGTCTACACAACAAGTTCCAAATCAGTCAGGACTACAAAATAAACATCAAAAGCAATTAAATTAATACAAAATAAAGTAACAGAGTAAAAATAAAAAAGGAAGAAAGAACCTAAAAAGGAAATAAGAAAGAGAAAATCAGTCCCAATAGAGTTGACTAAACCTAGTCATGTTGGCTGGAGAGATGGCTCGGTTGTTGGGAGTACTGGCTGCTCTTCCAGAGGACCCGGGTTCAACTCCTGGCTCAACTCATAGCTGCCTGTGACTCCAATTTCAGGTGTCCTGACACCTTCACACATACACATGCAGGCAAATGGGTGCACGTGAAATAAAAAATAATTAAAAAAAAAAGAAACCTAGCCATGTTGTCAGCAACACTAAATGAAAACACCCTAATGGCTTTCGAAAGACAAGGACTGGCAGGCTGAGTCCAGACGAAAAGGAGATACGCACAGCATTTGCTATCAGAAGAGACTTAAGGAACAATAACGTTACAAAACCTAGAGGACACTTCTAATTACGAAAATCAATTCACTGTGAAGACTAAATAATTCAGTATGCAATACAACAAACCCCAGAACACCAAAATAAAGCAAAAACCAAAAGCAGAAACAGAACCAAGTAAACAGAAAACCGGTAAGGACACTGACAGCACCATCATCCACCTTAGCCCAACTGACAGCGCAACAGACGTTTCTGTCAAATGGAATGGAAGATCCGAAAAGCAGACTATGTGCTGTGTCACAGTCTTAATAAAAAAGATCACGACTGTACCAGCTGCAGCCCACGGAAACCAGAGAGGCTGAGGTATCAGGGATGCTCACACAGTGCTGGTGAGGACGCACAATGACCAACTTTTACAGAAGAGTACGACATTTTATGACAAGACACATTTGCTATACGACCCAGAAATTCTACTCTTAACATAGTCTCCTAAGAGAAACAAAAACACGTCTAACCAAAGATGGTACACACGAGTTTAAAGCAGCATTATTCAAGTCAAGTCAGAATCTCATAAAAACTTTTTCTCTGAGCTGAGTTGGGAGCAGTGCACACCTTTAATCCCAGTACTCAGAAGGCAGAGGCAGGTGGATCTCTTTGAGTTCAAGGCCAGCCTGGTCCACAGGGGGAGTTCCAGGACAGCTAGTGCTGTTATGAATATGTGTATTGAACAAAGCCCCAAGGAGACGCATCAGGTCTGGAGAGTGGAAAAACAATGAAGTTCATCTGTACCAACAAAAAAACTACAAAACAGTAAACGGGTGTGAAGCTGGACAAAATATATCATAAACAACTAACAAAAACAATGACACAGGGGGGAAAGGTATAAGTGACGAATGAAGGAAACAGAACAGAAAGTCTAAAATCCAAAGTTAGTATACATGAGTACCAAATACAGACTTAAAATGGTATTTCAGTATTGGAGAGCTGACTCAAAGGTTAGCAGTGCTTGCTTCTCTTGCAGAGGACCCAAGTTTGGTTCCGAGAAACCACGCTGGCTAGCTAACAACTGCCCGCAATTCCAAGAACTGACACATGCCCACAGAAATAAAAACTACATTAAAATATTATATTTCATACAGCAGGAAGGACTGCCAGATCACTCACTTAGTAAGCATAACACAATCAATTAGAAAGAGTTAGATTCTGGGCTTACTACCAAAGGCCAAAGGCAAAGTAAGAGATTGAGCTTGCTGACAGAGGCCTACAATCTTAGTACGAGGCTGAGGCAGGAAGATCAAAGCCGGTCTAGGTTATACAATCAAACCCTGCTTCAGAAACAAGAAAAAAAAAAAGCACAAGAAAAAGAGACTAATAACGTTCAAACTCAAACATATTAAACCTCAGTGGATAACACACCTCACACAACACTGAAAGGCAAAAATGAAGTCACAAAATGTGTCCCGCACAGGAAAGGATTAGCACAAGCAAGTATCGAGGTCTTCTTCAAAAAGGGACCTATCTCTACTTCCCAGAAGTTAATTCACAATAAAAAGTCATCAAGCACTGAATGGCAGTGGGAGGTGGTGATACATCCCTTTAATCCCAGCACTTGGGAGGCAAAGACAGGCAGATCTCTGTGAGTTCAGGGCCAGTCTAAGCTACAGAGCAAGTTCCAGGACAGCCATGACTATACAGAGAAAACCTATCCCATTAAAAAAAAAAAAAAAAAAAAAAAAAAAACTACTGATAATACCCGGTAAGCATCACACTCTGGGCTACACAGCAGAGCGTCTGGCAATAAGGGCAGAGCTACAGATTCAAAGCTGTCACCTGAAGAGGCCAAATAGCTTCTTCCACTCCTTGTACAGTGCCCACATCTGTTTCATTGGGACGATGAGGAATCCGAAACTATCAGACGAGACCCAAAACACCCACTCTTCAGTCTGACATCAACTACTTGTCTGCAACTGGTCCCTCCAAAGACCCATCTTCAAGAGGCTCAGAGGAGGAGGTGTGTAAATCCCGCCTGCAATCTCACCAACTATGCAGCAGGGAACAACTTACTGAACCTCTCAGACCTGTACCTCAGTTTCTTCATATGTATATGTAGCTGAGGATACTACCCTTCCACAGGGACTGCGAGGTTCCTACAATGATTAAATCAGTTGGCTCTCTCTCTCTCTCTCTCTCTCTCTCTCTCTCTCTCTCTCTCTCACACACACACACACACACACACACACACATACAACACACACAGGAGAAAATAGAACAAGACAAAAACAAGAGTACTTGAAGCCAGCCCAGGCTACACAGCAAGACCCGACCTCAAAAAAAAGAGAAACCAAGTCAGAAGTAGAGGTTCACTTCTGTGATCCCAACATTTAGGAGGTTGAGGCTGGAAAACTGCCATGAATTTAAGGCCAGCCAGAGCTACTTTGCAGGACTTTGTCTCAAAACAGAAGATGCAAACAAACAAACAAAAAAAATGTAATATGAATTAGGTTCAAATATAATGAAAGCAATGAAAAGCATACAGACTAAAATGCCTTTCTAGGGGTGGGCATAACACATCTACACCTCCTCTAAGGTCCCAAGGGCAAACCAAGGTACTAGTCTGTCAAAGTTCACTCTAGGGAACCCATGAGTATATACTGGACTTCTTTATGGAGCATGGGTGAGAGGTTATTTACTGGAATGTGGGTGTTTCCCAAAAAAGTCTTTACCCAGCAGAGATGACTTTCCCATAGCCACAGAGATAGGAGTCTCCCTCCTCTAATCTTGCCTGGCCTATATACTCTAGGGCCTAGAGAGAGAGAGAGAGTGAGAGAGAGAACAATGTATAATACATAGAGAAAAATATATGTGCTTTATGTTTTATACACACACACATACATACATATACATACACACCCTATTATATAAATATTATAGAGAACAGTGGTTTTCAACCTTCCTAATGCTGCAACCCTTTAATACTGTTCCTTATGTTGTGGTGAGCTCCAACAATAAAACTATTTCATTGTTCCTTCATAACTGTAATTTTACTGTTATGAATCACAATATAAAATCTGATATCCAGAGTATCTGATATGTGACTCGTATGGGAGGAGGGGGGGGGTGTCAAGACCCACAGGTTGAGAACCCAGACTCTAGGGTCTACTGACCATTCTTGCCTCCATATGAGGGGGTGTGAAAAGTCAACAAGCCCAGCTGGGATAATCTTTTGCAAGTGTACACGGCTGAACTCCACAGGTGGTGGCTGTTTATCTCAGAGGATAGCCCTGTACCACACTCTCCTTATACTAAAGACATGAGACCAAGTGTCTCCATCTGTAAAAATGGAGATGACAGATGACCTCATCAACGGCTGTGTAGAAAAACCAGGAACTTAGAAAGCGCATGATCCTGCATGACAGTTACCTGGAAGATAACAGCTGTCCACAAAACATGCTAAAATGCACATAAGAAGAAAAGAAATTATGTCCTAGCAATGCTGAAACATGCATGGCAGCCCGCATAATGGAGGTTCTGCTGAACTTGTCCATATTGAGTTTCACATTCTAAGTTGATGAGGATGACTGACCAGGTCTCTTCCTCAAGAGGGCACCAGATCTCATTACAGATGGCTGGGAGTCACCATGTGGCTGCTGGGAATTGAACTCAGGACCTTGGGAAGAGCAGGCGGTGCTCTTAACCGCTGAGCCATCTCTCCAGCCCAAGATGTAGTAAATAGTAACGGGCAGAAAGTAGCTTAAGCACATTTGCACACCCTCTAGACTGACACCTGAACTTCCAGCTCTTCATTAGCACAGGCATTGTGATCAATACTGAACCATCAAAATCACCAGCTTCTATGCTTACCAAGGTGTGGGTCCAGGAGGTGAGGTTGCTCCTGGTATTTGTCCATAATTACTAAAAGGAAAAGAATATAAAAATCAAATCAGATGGCCTTATAAACTCTCCTATTGCCTCTGGGTAACTCTCATGAGGCAGCACCCCTCTTCCTGGCCTTTGTAACTCCCAGGGACCCACCAGACCTAGCTGATGGATACCGAACACCTGTCAGGTTCCTGAGGACCAGTGTGACCACATCTTCCTCTTGGATCCTCTTTCTCATGCATTTTCTGATACACCCTTCCACATCTTCAATGCTCCCCTGCTAAGCATGATGCCCTCCCATTCCAACAATCTTCAAACCAGTGACTGCAAAATCTCCTTCACCCTGGCTACCTGCTTTCCACCCCTACCAGCAACTTAATCTGCTTCTAACCAACCCAGAGATCTCTCTGCCTCTGCAATCCTCACCTGCCACTTCAGAATCTCTCCACTAAGCCCCACTCCCTTGTCTTTCCCTAAAACTGGAGCTCGGTCACTCCCAAGCAAGAAAGACACTGTGGAGAGAATTTTCTTAGCTAAGGAATCCACAAAAATGATTTTGCTCAAATATAAAACTTTAATTATCCAAGGGCTCATTTGGACATTGCCCTGGTTTGCTTTCTGTTCTTGTGATAAAACTGACCAAAACCAACTTGAGAAAAGAGTTTATTTGGCTTACCCAGCCAAACATTGAGGGACGTTAAGGAATGAATTTAAGCAGTAGAAGCAGGAACTATATGGAAGCGTTGCTCACTGACTTGATCCCAGGCTCAAAGTTCAACTGTCTCTTATCCAGCCCACAATGGGCTGCAAAGACGTGCCTACAAGCCAATATGGTGGTGGCAATTACTTGAGATTCTTTCGAGGTACGTCTAGGTTTGTGTCAAGTTGACAAAAAACTATGACAGACAGTATCCATTATAGACGGCTTCAAAGGTCTACCTAGACGTGGAGAATGCGGAACCACCCAAGGAACCTAACGGCAATGTTCACTCTCCTGCCCTGCCTGCAGCCAAAGTCCTAGTTAAACCTGGCGCTCTGAGACTGAAGAGCCAATGGACTCATAGCGGAGCCCCAGAGGAGCACACGCCCCAAGCCACAAGCGCCCGTAGGTGGCAGGTTTGTTCTCAGCAATCCTTCTCGCTCCCTCCCTGCACGCAGACAAGAACCAAGTGTGTTTTGCTGGCTCCCGGACAACACAGGGCAGGCAGGAGGTATGGCTCCCCAGGTCCCTTCCTCCCAGCTGCAATGACTGCAGGACAGCAACTCGGGGCCCCGCACGCACCCCGGAATCGCTCCTCCGCCACCTCCCGGGCCGCGCGCTCGCCGTGCACCGCAGGCAGGCTGCCGAGCAGCGCGCGGGTCTCCGCGCTCTCGCCGAACGCTTCCAGGGCGGCGCCGCTGGAGAGCGCAGCATCCTCCACCTCCTCCTCCTCCTCGGCCGCGGTGGTCGCAGCCGGCTCATCGCTCAGGACCATCCCGCCAGCGGCTTCCGTCAGAACCATACCGGCAACCGGGAGAGAAAGGAGACGCCCCACGAGAGACGCCAGCTCCGCCCCGAGACCTTCGACCCGCCCTACAGGGAGCGCCAGCCGACAAAACAGCTCGCGCGAAGCCGGCTCGGTGTGCAGGGCGGTACCAGGATGAGGAAGGCTTCTCCAGCCTCAACCGGGAGTGGGTGGAGCCCGGCAGGGGTGGGGCCACAGAGAGTGTGGCCTGAGGTGTGGGCAGGTCTGAGTTGAGTGAGGGATGGATTTGCGTGATTGGAGGCGGGCTGGGGGGTGGAGCGTCTGGACAAGGAGGATTTAAGATTGGAGCGGAACCGAGGTTTTGAGCTGGCGGAGACGGTGCCGGAAAGCTGAGTAGAAAGGGTCAGAGTGGAGGGGAGGTGTCTGAACGCAGGGGAGGGGGATGAGAATTGGGTGACGATGTCTGAGCGTCTATGATGTGCTATAAGGGTTTGCGAGAGGGATGTTATTCCAGGATGAAGGCATTTGTGATGACCTTTTAAACATCGGAACAATGCTGGCCACACCTGACAAGGGGTGTGGGCTGCACATGCTGGCCCTGAGCTCACCAACATAATAGATCTCACTGTAAAGTGGGGTGGTGAAGGGATGAGATAGTGAGTAAAGTCTCCCGCACTAAGTCTCAGGACTTAGTGTAACAGAGCCCCAGGCTTTCGTAGGCCACCAGACTTTAGCACGAGTGATTCCGTGATGGAAGTACCGTTCAGACTATAAAACTCAGCGTGTAGACAACACCAGCCAGCCAAACTGAAAACAAAAACCTAATCCATCAAAATCCATAGTTCTAGGAAAGTCTCTAAATGTACTAACCTTGCTTTGTGGCTTCTGTAGTTCTGCTTCTGACCAACTGTTCTTGTTAAATAAAATATATCAAGCCAGGATATGGTTTTTGCGCTTAAAAGCTCACCCTGAGCCGGGTGGTGGTGGCACACGCTTTTAATCCCAGCACTCCAGAGGCAGAGGCGGGAGGATCTCTATGTATTCAAGGCCAGCCTGGTCTACAAGGGCTAGGTCCAGGACTGGCTCCAAAGCAACACAGAGAAACCCTAAAAACCTCACCCTGAGAAAGACTCAATGCTATGCTGGGATTCCAAACACCTGCTGTAGTCACTGGCTGGCCAATAAAGACTTTCTGTTGACTTAAATCCATGTCGCAGCAGTCTTCTTGGATATGTTGTGGATAACCAACAAGTTTGGTTCCCACATAGTGGAAGAAGAGAAACACAAGGTTTGTACTCTAACCTATACACACACATTTGAATATGCATGCACACAAAATAATGTCTAAAAAATAGAAAAAAAAAGTGAGGTACTGAAGAGGGTCCAGTGGCCATTGCAACTGAATGACCAGAGCCATGGCGGGGGTGGTTCTTCCTACCCAACTGTGGCACTTGGGACGGCAGCTGCTGAGGAGGGAACTTGCCAGGAACAGTGATGCTGAATCAGACGCTAGCATCAGCAGGAGCTACATACACAGCTCCCTCTAACTCCAGCACTGCCGCAGCCTCACGGCCCTTTCTTGATGAACTTGTTGGAGGCCAACTCCAAATTAGCCCAGTCGGGGGCCCGCTTTGACTTTTTATTGGGTCCCAGCCCTCTGCTACCTGAGCAGCTTCCTCATCACACCCAAGGATGGGCTTCTATACTCCCTCCCAAAGTGGTTCCAGTGGTTCAGGTAGTTGAAGAGCTGATACAGCAGCAGGCGCTTGTCGAACCCTGGAGCCTTGGGGATCTTCTGGTGGTAGGCAGTGAAGAAGGATCTGGGGAACCCCCCAAACATCAGTGCGATTGCCAGTTCAAACTCAGAATGGCCATAGAAGGACGCTGGATCGTAAATAATGGGTCCCTGGTCATCCTCAGCCACATTGCCAGACCAGAGGTCTCCATGGAGCAGGGCGGGGACAATCTCTACACCAGAGAACAGGTCTGGGATCTTCACCTACAAGAGAAAGTATTGCAAATGTGGGACTCAGAGGCCCATGGGTTCATTATCCAGAGCTTGGGAAAAGAGCAGAGAGCCATGGATTCATCTAGAGTCCAACCAAATACTCTGTCAGGTCCAGTGAAAGGGCTCTCCTGATTCAGGAATGCAGCTTTGCCCAGCTTTCTGGGAACTAACCAAATGAGTCCAAAAACTTTATGGGAAATCTCAGAAGTTAGTTTTATGCTGTAGACTGTGAACCAGTTTGCTACCTACCCTCTGAGCTGTTTTTAGTTTATTGTACATATGTACCCAGATCTTTTCTGTTAGATAACATAACTTTGATGCATGTTTACCCTAAACCAGTGGTTCTCAGCCTTCCTAATGCTTTAACCCTCTAATACAGTTCCTCATGTTGTGGTGACTGCTAACCATAATATTATTTTGTTGCTACTTCATAACTATAATTTTTCTATTGTTAAGAATTATAATGTAAACATCTGATATGCAGGATATGTGGTATGTGACCCCTGTGAAAGGGTCGTTTGATCCCCAGGGGTGACGACCCACAGGCTGAGAATCATTGCCCTAGACTGATAGATGAACTGTGTTTCTAATGATGTGGAATATATTTTGAAACAAGTCATGCAGGAACGCACATCTTCACTAAGGGTGGCACATCGGGTCTTTGGCAGAGGGGAAAAAAATGAGGTTAAGAGTGGACAAATAAAATGAGGGGAATCTATGAGCCAAGGGACTGTCCCATCCCTCCCCCCACCTACAGGGTGAGAAAGTGGTGGCTGATTGTATCCACAATGTGACCATCTCAACTCTGACTCAGTCCTGAGAGGACCCCACATGCATGTGGTGGGCTCATGAGAGACAGCCTCTTTCGAGAGAAGCGGTATGCCCACCTGTAGTCTTGACCACAGTTCTTGTGTCTCTCGGTCAGCATAGTCCTTTTCAATGAGGTTCAGCTGTGCTTGGAGCCGGTGTTGCGTGAAAAAGGTTGGCCAGTCGTCCTGCCATTCGTTCACCTGAGCAACGAGAGGAGAAGCCAGAACTGTGAGTACAGTATTGGCGATTGTAGGTACATGACATGGTGCCCAGCATTTTCACAGCAGGGCCAGGGATCTGAACCCAAGCCCTCATGCTATGTAGCCAAGGATTCTTCTGCCTCCACTTTCCAAACTTCTGGGATTACAGGTGTACACCATATCTGGCTCAATTTTAAAACATAATAATTGGCTTTTGCCAGGCATAGTGATTCACAGCTGTAACCTCAGCCCTTGGGAGACTCAGGTAGGAGGACCGTAGCAAGCTCGAAGCCAGCCTGGTCTACATTTCAACTTCCAAGTCAGACAGGATTATATAGTGAGACCCTGTCTCAAAAAGGGAAAGGAAAAGAAGACATACAATTATCAATTGTGCACGTCCATATATGCTAAAGAAGACATACAGTTAACACATGTGCACATCCACAAATGCTAAAGAAGACATACAATTAGCAAATGTGCACGTTCACATACGCTAAAGAAGACATACAGTTAGCAAATGTACATGTCCACAAATGCTAAAGAAGACATACAGTTAACACGTGTGCACATCCACAAATGCTAAAGAAGACATACAGTTAACACGTGTGCGTGTCCACATATACTAAAGAAGACATACAGTTAACACGTGTGCGTGTCCACATATACTAAAGAAGACATACAGTTAACACATGTGCACATCCACAAATGCTAAAGACATACAGTTAACACATGTGCACATCCACAAATGCTAAAGAAGACATACAGTTAACACGTGTGCGTGTCCACATATACTAAAGAAGACATACCGTTAACACATGTGCACATCCACAAATGCTAAAGAAGACATACAGTTAACACGTGTGCACGTCCACAAATGCTAAAGAAGACATACAGTTAACACGTGTGCGTGTCCACATACGCTTATTCCACATCACCAGCCATGACAGAAATACAAAACAGAATCTCAGAGTGAACGTTTGTCTCCAGCTTCAACTGAAAACAACTACAGAAAACATCCAGCGTGGATAAGAGTAGAAAAAACTGGAATTCTTATCTGAGCTGATGGGACAGTAAACTGGTACAACCTCTTTGGAAGCATGAGCAGCTTTTTGTTATTTTTTAATCTATTTTTAGATTTTATGTGTGTGTATCTCTGTGAGAGAGCCACAGATGCATGGGTCCTGCACAGGACGAGAGAGGGCATCAGGTCCCCTGAAGCTGAAGTGACAAGTAATCCAGAAAAGCAGTGTGTGCTCTTAACCAACTCTCAGCCCCACGCGGCAGTTCCACAAAACCTAAGGAAGAACCTACTGCGCTACCCAGGCTTTCCCATCTCGGGTCTCCTGTATACACCCAAGATAAAGTACTTTTACACAATGACTGCACACAAAGGTTCATAGCAGCTTTGTTTATTTAAAAAAAATCACGCTAGGAACAACAGACATTCATCAGCAGATGAACAGATAGACAAACAGAGATCATGGCTATTCCATACACTGGAATAGACTTTGTACACACTTGACATGACTGGATTTCATGGATAAACTTCAAAAGATTTGACATGGACCATATCAAAATAATTATATGGAGCGAAATATGTCAGAGTGAAAAAAGGCGAAGGGGGACACACTGTATGCTTATATTTGTATAAAACTTCACAAAACACAAGCAAATCTGCAGTGCCGGAAAGTAGACCTGCGGGTGTCCTGACATGGGGATGGGTTACGGAAAGAGGTCGTACAGCAATTTGTGGCTGGCCATCCGTGTTATCAAACTGTACAGCTGCATAGGTGCAGTCTGTGTCACCTAGGCTTCCATGGAGATAGACATGGGCTAAGGCTATTCCAGGGGCTGCTCTGAGAACCCCCGAGGCAGAGCTTTTGGAGCGAATTCTGAACCTGGCTGGCAGCCTCCATAGTCCTGGTCATCCTCCTCTTCCTGGAGTCTTTCCTGGGAGCTCCAGGCATTTATCCCAGGCTTTAACTCCCCAGTGCCAGCTGCACCTCAGGGAACCCTTCTCCCCAGCCTAGCAAGCCCCGAGCACTGGGGTCCACCATCTCAGCATCCCACCATTTCCATTTACCTGCCAAGGCTCCCAGTACCTAGGGGCTCTCCTCTTACCTGAAGATATAACAAGGTCACAAAAACCACAATTTCCTTTTGGGAACAGAGTTCAGTCTTGCCACTTAGATGGAAGGGCCAAGATTCCCAAGGTCACGGAAAGATGTGACCTTTCTGCTGAGCTACTACAGGCAGGTGCCACCTGAGTGTAAGGACTGAGAAAGGCAGCATTGTGTAATGGTTAGAGCCATCTCTGAGGCCAGACTGTATGTCAAGTCCTGGTTCCTCCATTCGCTATCTGCATGGTCTCTGGGAATGCTACTTAGTCTCAATAGTCTATCATTTTCTTATTCTGTAAGATATATCAGTGACATCACCTAGTTCAGTACCAACTGTGGCAAAATGCTTGGAACGCTGCTAGGTTCTTAGCAGGGAATACAACCCATACGTTCCCAGGCCAACTGGACTAGCGCTCCCAATAGAACTGACTGTGCTAGGGTCTACACAGTCCACCTTCAGCGGTTCCCACCATAATTGCAACACCTCTCAAGGGCCCACTCAATCCAACAAGAGAGTAGGATGTCTAGGAGCTTGGGGCTGGTTGGAAGCACTAAAGAACAATATTGTTGTTACTCAAAGCAGGCAGGCTTGGACTCTGATGCCCTTCTGACAAGGCCACGGTTGCCTCACGGTCCCAGAGTCTGAAGGGAACACAGAGACCCTCTATCTTTCTGATTGGCCAGCTCCATTCTCGCTCTGCTTCATACACAAGTTCTAGATACTATTTCATGTCTCAGCTCATAAATATTTGAGAAAACACTGCTACACCAGCCAAGTCTTTGAAGACCCACCACCACAAGAAGTCATTCAACTCAACGTGTAAATCAAGGCAACAAATCATGCTTGTCTGTTTTAACAGAGCCCATACTAGCCCCTAGCTGCAGCCAGGTGTGTAACACCAGGAAAGTCAGTTTTGCCTGAGATAGGGGAATCTTGGCAAGTCTTCTGTATACAGTTTTGGGACTTAGATTCATAGCTGCCTGTTGGATGGGATCCCTAAGTCTGCCTTGGACTTCATAAAAATCTTGTTGCAAGTCACCTCCAGCCCATGCCAGGGGGAGCTGGACTATAGTCTACAGTAGCCTAACTAGTCAGAGAAGGTTTCAAGGAAGAGAAAAATTTGAAAATGTTGGTCCTTCAAGCATTTAACAGGTTTAAATTGGGATGGTCCTTATACAAGAGGTATTCTGTCCTTTAAAAAGCAAAAGATAGTCTAACAATGCCTTCTCTGAGGTAGGTGTAGGGTAGGTAGACTGCCCAGGAGATAAGCCTAAGGTTCTGAGATGGTGACTCAAGAGACCACAATGTTATTCAGCCATAATAATAAGAATGCAGAGTGGAGACCTGGCTCAGCTGATAACAGTACTTGCTGCTCTCCCAAAGGACCAGAGTTTGGTTCGCAGCATCCACATCAGATGGTTCAGTTCCGAGGGATCAGACACCACCCTCTATCTTCCTCGGGTACCTGTACATGTGGCATTCATTCTGTCTCACACATACCGCATGAATAAAAATGAATCTTTTTAAAGTGTTGGGATGTTGGCTCCCATCTATAATAACAGCAATTGAGAGACTATAACAGGGAAAACTGTGTGTTCTAGTCCAAAATATGTTCCAAGCATACAGTGAAACATGATGCTCTTGTGTAGTGATACTTCATTTGTACTTTAATAAATAAAGCTTGCCTGAAGATCAGAGAGTAAAACAGCCGCACTGGTCAGCCTTACAGACCAGGCAGTGGTCCCAGTAGTCACACTAGTTTGCCATAGAAACCGGTTGGTAGTGGTGCACGTCTTTAATCCCAGCACTAGAATCTCATTCTGAGATTCCTGGAAGCGGGATCACCATTCCAGACTGAGGTAGAGGTAAGAGCCAGTCGCTGACTGTTTTGCTTTTCTGACCTTCAGGTTGAACCCCAATTTATGTCTCTGGGTTTTTATTAATTGTGCAGTGTAGATTAACCTTAAAAACACTGTAGTAAGTGAAAGAAACTGGACACAGGTCACATGTTATACAATGTCGCCAACACAAAATGTCTAGAACGGGCATAGAGATGTGCAGTAGGTTTGTGGTGGCCGGTGCTAAGGGAAGGCAGAAAAGGGTTGACTACTAATACGAGTTGCTATTGGGTGATGAAAATATTCTGGAATGATACATAAGGAATCCATAGACATATCGCCTGAACACACCTGACCTCCTCTGACCTCCTCTGACCTCAGAGGCTAAGCAGTAAGGGTCTGGTTAGAACCTGGACACAAGATAACAGTGATATTTGCATTAGCACCACAGTTGCACTAAAAACCATTGAATGATACACTTTAAAAGGGAGAGCTTTAGCTGGGCATGGTGGAGGGAGGCAAATCTCTATGAGTTTGAGGCCAGCCCGGTCTACAGAGGGTATCTCAGGACAGCCAGGGCTTTTACACAGAGAAATACCATCCTGAAAAGCCAAACAAACAGAAAAATGGAGAGAGTTTTGTGTTACATGAATTACATCTCAACTGTATTTTAATAAAGGACAATCATGTTAGCAGCCATGGAAAAGGACCTGAGCGATAAGGGCTTGATCTTTGGCGTTACCCAGTCTACCCTCTTCAGACCCTTAAACTGGCCTGGTACCCTCCTACAGCACGTCTTTTGCATCACGGATGCCCCCACCTGGAATGCGGATCAGCTGACTGCAGTGTGTACTCCCTCCAAGCCTGGCTCAGGTAGCCTTCACATCTGTCATAGGCGCCACCGCCTACACTCTGCCTTCAGAAACAATGGCTGAGCGCTCTGCTGTCTGGAGAACTGGCACTCTGTTGCACACAGGGGTCAGCAACTGGCACTTCACGGAAGGATATCCGTCAAGCACTGGCGCCTCAAGAATGGCCATCAGTAAGTAGAGACGCCCTCACTCAGACACTCACCTGTGGGATGAAGCCGCAGCACGTCACTGTGTTGAAGCCGAACTTGGTCACACCCTGGAACTCGGCACCTTCGGCCCCACAGCCTGTCAACAGAAATCTGTCATAGGAACCAGACCTCAGGAGAATGACCTGCAGACTTGGCTGCAGGCACACAAGTGGCCCAGACACTGGTCATCTGAGAACTCACTACACATGGACGTGAGTAACCAGCACGTACATTCGCCAGGACTTTTCTACCCTAGATCAATGGACAGACTGTGGGACGGGTTGGTCAGAAGTCAGTTCCACTCATTTATCAGCTTCGTTAAAATTACTTAATCATCTCATTTTCACAGTGTGTTTGGGGCTGGAGAGATGACCCCCAAATTAAGAGCACTTGCTGCTCTTTCCAGCACCTGGGTTAAGCAACAAACAACTACCTGCAACTCTACCTCTAGAGGATCAGGGGCAGATCAACCCCAGCAGGTACCTGAACATCTTTCTCTCTCTCTCTCTCTCTCTCTCTCTCTCTCTCTCTCTCACACACACACACACACACACACACACACACACACACACACTCACACAAATAAAGAAAAAGTTGTCTGATGAACTACAAAGGGAGATGGTATACCATTCAACCCATTATTGAAATGCCACCAAGAAGCAGCAGCACGCACACCCATCTAAGAGCTGATGGGCTGGGCCCAGGGTGAACTGAACTGACCCACTGTGTTCTCCCGGGCCTTGGCCTTCTCCCTGAGCTTCTGGTTGTAAAGGTGCAAATCTGCCATCTGGTCCCCGAGCTTTGATGCCTGGCTAAAGAAAGAAGAAAGGCAGCAGTTAAAATGGCAAAGAAATAGCACGAGTCAGTATGTTCTGCTTTGAGAAATGTTGTAAATACCTTAAAGGTACTCTTAAAAGTAAAATAATAAACGCTTTCTAAAAAAACAAAAAAAGTATCACAAGAGCCTTTGTGATCATGTCTGTAGCATCTTAGCAGACGCTGGCCAGTAAGTAAAAAACACGCAGCTCTAAACTTATAGAAATGTAAACTAAATATGGAGAAACCCTGGGACCACAGTCACATGCTGAGGTGCAAGCTACGGTGCAAGCTGAGGTGCAAGCATTGATAAAATACTGATGCCTTCTGTACCAGAGTTCGTTCTTCACACATTTTATACAATGAACATCCATGGCTGTAACAGAGGAAGAATTAAGATACCAGATAGTTGATCAGCCTCTCTCAGCCCAAACTGGATTACTATACTGCACAGCACAAAGCAAGAAACTTAGTCAAATAACTTAACTTTGTGCAGCCTCATCACAGCTGAACTCACCGAAATGAAACAAACAAAAAACAACTGGTGTGGGAAGTCCTTCTGTATATGTCTTGCTTTTATTGGTTAATGAATAAAGAATTTGCCTTGGCCTGTGATAGGGTAGAGTAGAGGTAGTTGGGGAAAACTAAACTGAATGCTGGGAGAAAGAAAGCGGAGTCAGGAGATGCCACATAGCCATGGCAGGGGACAGACGCCAGAACCTTGCCAGTAGGCCACAGCCATGTGGTGATATGCAGATTAATAGAAATGGGTTAAATGTAAGAATTAGCTAATACAAAGCTAGAGCTAATGGGCCAAGCAATGATTTAATTAATACAGTTTCTATGTGGTTATTTCGGGGCTGATCAGCTGGGAACAAACAAGCGGCCTTCCTACAAACAAACAGCAATCATCTTTGTCTTGATTAATGGATTAAGAATGGGGGCTTGAGAGATGGCTCAGCCGTCAAGAGCACTGGCTGCTCTTCCAGAGGAACTGGGTTCAAGTCCAGCACCCACAAGATGGTTCATACCTTCTATAACTCCAGGTTGAGAGGATACAGCCCCCACTTCTGGCCTCTGAGGGCAGTACACCATGGTGCACAGACATACATGCAGGCAAAACACCAATACACATAAAATAAGTATTTTTTAAATTTAGTAGAGAAAGACAAGTTGTTATTCTTATGAAAGTTGGAGAATTAATAGAAGCTTCACTTTCAAGATCTCAGGTTCAATAAGAGGAAACCAGAACAATAAAGAATGGATTCCAGGGACCGGAGCTGAAGAAAGAAGAGACAGCTCATTCGTTCAGAGCATGTTCAGAGCACCTGCATCGGACCCAGGTTCCTAGTACCTATGTGACAGCCCAAAAACATCTCTAATTCCAGTTCCAGGAAATCCAACACCCTTGTCTAGCCTCTGGAGTCACCGGACATGCACCTGGTGCACATACCTGTAGACAAACATATATGTATAATAAAAGTAAATCTTTAAAATATGGACCCTGACAGCCAGTCAGGCATGGTGACGCACACCTTTAACCCCAGCACTTGGAAGGCAGAGGCCAGGGTGGTTTACATAGTGAGTTCAAGACTAGTCAGGGGTACATAGTAACACCTTAAAAAAAAAAAAAAAAGGACTCCGGCCACTGGGCTGAGTTATGCAAGCTCAGCAGAGGCTGCTCCCTGGTGTTCTGTCTCTTTCTCTCAGCCCATTTCCATCTGAGCAGAGGCTGCTCCCTAGTGTCCCCCCCCTCTTCCACTTCTTTCTCTCCACCTGCTTCATCTGTCTTCTCTATTTCTGTCTATGTGTCTGTCTGTCCCTGCCTCTTTCTGTACCTGTCTCACAGCGTTTACAACAGCCTTTCTCCCATCTCTCTCTCTCTCTCTCTCTCTCTCTCTCTCTCTCTCTCTCTCTGTGTGTGTGTGTGTGTGTGTGTGTGTGTGTGTGTGCCTTTATGTGCACGCATGGCCCTCCCTCTCCCATACACACAAATGTACTCACCTGCTCAGACTCTTCATCTTCAAGTATTCCATCACGAAGGCAGCCCCGCCTCCTGGCAGGTCAATCACCTTCATGGGCTTAGGTACCCGCACCAGGCCAGTGCTGCGGAGGGCCTCCAGGCTTGCCATCTCCCCCTCAAACATCTGCCGGGCCTGCATCCAAATGCCATGAACACTGTCAGCTCTGCTAACCTGGACTCTCACGGGGCCTTGCTAGATGGCCCAAGGGACACATGACTCTTAACACAAGCCACAAAACCAAGTGCCTTCAATTACTGAAAAACAACCTCACATGCACCCGTCGAGGCCAGGGTGCGAAAGGGACCCCTTCAGGTAAGAAGGAGCTGCAAGGACAAACCCGAGGCCAGGACTCAAGGTGTCTGTGTGAAGACCCATACAGCAAAACCTTGCTGTGGAAGATGCACAGACCACAAGGGGGTGACAAGGGGCAACAGGAGGAGCAGGCACAAGTCAGATGTGAGCTAACAAAAAGTCTGAGGCGGGGCCTGAGTCCTCCATGGTATTGCTTTCTTTCCTGCCTCTGAGTGGGAACAGGCAGTCTTGGGCATGGTAGAAATTACCTGGGCTCATATTTGGGTCAGAGAAAGCAGAGTGGGGAGGCCAGTAGGGCCTGGCTCAGTTCTAGCAGGAACTAGAGAAGCTACAAAAGACTCATACAGCCAGCTTACCTGTAGGGTTTTTGCTGGCACCCATAGGCCTTCTTGTTCCCAAACTATTTCTACAAATATCCCATTTATTTTTAGTCAGACTTACATATTGTTCATACCTTGGTACAAAACATGCATTTTATTTATTTACTTATTTATTTATGGTGCGGGTGACTGAGCCCAGGAGATTGTGCATACTGGGCAATGCTGTACTACTGAATGAAATCCTCAGCACCCCACAAAAAAATGCATTTATAATGGGTTTGTGAATACTTTTATATATAGGATCATGGGGTAGCTGTTTGTTTGGTTTGGTTTTTTGAGACAGGGTCTCACTGTGTAGCCTCGGTTGTCCTGGAACCCGCTCTCAAACTCACAGGGATGAGAGCCTCTGTCTCCCGAGTGCTGAGATTAAAGACATGCACCACCACTGCCTGGCTAGAATCATAGGGGGTTTTTTTGTTTGTTTGTTTGTTTTGGTTTGTTTTGGTTTGGTTTTGGTTTTTCGAGACAAGGTTTCTCTGTAGCTTTGGAGCCTGTCCTAGAACTAGCTCCTGTAGACCAGGTTGGCCTCAAACTCACAGAGATCCAGCTGCTTCTGCCTCCTGAGTGCTGGGATTAAAGGTGTGCACCACCACCACCTGGCTAGAATCATGGGTTTTTAAAAATTAAAAATAGATGACTCTGGTGGGTAAAAGCATTTACCACATGAGCCTGATGACCCAGCTTTGATCCCCAGAGCCCACATGAAAAGTCAGATCTGGTGCTGTGTATCTGTAATCCAAGTCCTCCCACTACATGATGGGAGGCAGAGACAGCAAAATTGCCCAGAATCTTGGAGGCCAGCTACCCTGGTACATGCTTTGTAGGGGCAGAAACAAGAGAGACCTTGCCACAAAACAAGGCAGAAAACCAGAACCAACTTCCCAAAAGGTTGTCCATTGACTTCTATATATGTCATGGTATGTATAAGCCAGAACTCTCCCACACATGCACACACACACACACACACCTACAAAAATAATTGAATGTTTTTAATTTAAAAAATGAACTTGAAGCCAAAACACTTTTATCATACATAAGAAGAATTCTTCACCTTTAATTCAGATTTCCAAGGGAAAAGCCAGACAGGATTCCTCAAACTGCCATCCTGCACTTGGGACCAAGAGGCAAGGGTTGGGTATCCTGGATGGGAGGGCATCTGCAAACCCCATCCATGTCTCCAGTATGAACCTCCAAACAATGCCAACAGTACAGAGAATGCAGGCTAATCCTATTCCTGACACCATCTCTAATGATATTGGAGGACCGAAAAGGGCTACTCTGGGATCCTCTGCTCTCTCACAGTCAGCGTACCTACTGGAACCACTGTCTGAAGCTACGTCCGGAGCGTAGGACCTCTGGAAACCCCCAGAGTAGGGGGAGCACCCGACTGCGCCATCAGCAGCTTGCTCTTGGGGCCTCTAGCCAATGTTGTCCATCTGCCTTACAGTTTTTCATACATTCTTTTGTTGTTGTTAGTTCTGTTTTGAGTCAGGGTTTCCTCATGTGGCCCAGCTGGCTTGAGACTTGCCATCCTCAACCTCCTAAGTACTATGATTATAAACGTGTGTCGCTATTCCTGGCTCCATATATTCTTAAACAGGAATATCTTAAGGTGTCCTAGTAACTCCAGAGCTTGTGAGGAGGGTAGTGCTAGACTGGCCGTGGGAATCCTGTTTTTCCCCATCTATTGAGAGAATGCTGGAGCTGAGCTCAGGGCAGAGACCAGACGTGGGCAGACGCAGTTTACAGCTGAGATTCATCTCCATGATCAATGAATACAGAAATTTAAAGCCCTTGTGTGGGGGCAAAAGCAAAAGAGTGATTATACATCAAAGACAAATCCCTCAGTTCTAAGAGAAAGCCTCCCTACAGAAGCTGACCCCTCAGGGAGGGTAGGGACACCAGGTAGTTTCTAAGTAATTCCCCCCACTACTTCCCAGAAACGTGCATTCCTCTTTCCCCTCCCTAGATTCCATCCTGTACACCCCTCAGCGCACCTGCGTCCTGCGGTTGACCTTGACAAACACCGGACCAGCGTCGGTGTCGTAGGCTCGGCCTTCGCTGATGCAGCCGGCCCCGGAGCTCCCAAAGGCCCGCAGTGTCTTGGTGCGCAGCTCGGCGCGCAGCAGCTGCTCCATGGAGACTAGAGGACCAGAATGCAGGGAGATGACACAGAGGAGGGGACCCGGGTACCAGAAGTAACCCCGCCGTGCGACCCCGGGGGGGGGGGGGGGGGGGTGGTAACTGCTGGGATCAAAACAAGGTCCGGACCCAGTGACGCGGTCTCCTGGCTCATAGCGGCCGCTCGGGTGCGCACTATCCTATTGCACCAGAGCTGAGGTGGGAGGGGGAAGAAGGAGGAATTCTACCAGACAGCTATTTCTCTCCAAGACAATCTCTACCCGGGGTAGCAGGGATGCAGAGGCTCTCAAAGCTCACCTACCCGGAATTTCTACTCCAGGTTGACTTATCCCAGGGGATCAGGACCCCCAGATCAGATCTTGAGTGTTCGGTAAAGCCTGGGAGACAGAAAGAAAGTGTCCTTGGGTCCTTCCAGCATACATGTGAAGTCCCAGTGTATCTGTCTGCACCATCTGGGGTCCACCCTAGGCCCTGTGCTGCTTGCACAAGTGGGTGGATCAGGAGTGGCCCACAGGAAGATTTGGGCTAGGGCTTCTTTATCCTTTGCAACACAAGGCACAGCCTGGAGACTCAGCTAGCCTGTGGGGAGGTTATAAGCTTAGCTAGGCTCTCACTGGCCAGATTAGGGTAGAGTTCTAGCCGGGGCGGGGTGGGGGAGTGGGGGGGGGTGCCCGAGCTAGGCCTAGGGACACCTTTAATGCCACAGGGCTGGCTGATAAAAGCTGAGCTGGGGGTTATGATAGCAGCAGCCTGCCCCGCCCAAGGTGGGTGGGACTCTGGACAGCCATGATAGGAAAGAAGTTTCAAGACACGTATGCTCATGTATACATGGGCACACACACACATGTATAGAATACAAGAACACCTTCACAGACTGGTATAGAGGACCGTCTGTGCCGAGGTAACCCTCAAGGGTTTTAGGAGAAGTTGCCTCAAATCCCAGCCCCCACCATGAGCTGCTGGTGCCCTCCTGTACTAATAATGTCTCTAGTAGGGTGAGTGATCCATTGCTGAACTTTCAGTGTGTGCAGGGGCACAAGTGAATGCCGGCTAAGTTCACAGCTGTCCTGTGAGAGGGTCCTATAGTCACTTCCCACCTTCTCTATAAAGAAATCGAGGCCCAGAGTAGTTGACTTGCACCCGACCCAGTGCTGGGATGTAGCTCAGAATATTTAAAACCAAATCTGACTTTGGGTTCCATCCTCTGAATCCTCGTCTCAGGTCATCAAAAGCCTGACTGTACCATGCGGCTCAGGGTTTCCCTCCTGACCTGCCAGCTGACAGTTTGGCAGCTCTGACCCCGATCAGACCGTAACTATCTGAGAAGAAAAAGCTATGGCGGACATTTTCTGCATGCACAATCAGCACTCACACTCAGACCGTAGGAAAGCCTTGTCGTTTCTCTGAGCGTCCCCTGGAGGGAAGGCTTTGCCAGATTACCATGGATCTGGGCTTTGGTGTTGATCTTGCAGGCTCATGTGAAAATCAAACCCACAAGGGCCTTCTCTGCTCCCCGCACAACTGGTTATGCTCCGTCAAGGCCATACTAAGTAAATGGACTTGACAGTGTGGAGCGCTCACTCCAAAATTCAGGCAGAACAGCCATCTATAGGAAACATAACTGCTGTCTCCATCTGAGGCCTGTCCTTCCACTGTTCTTGACATAAAGCATTGAAAACAGCATAACCAGAAACTCTTCATTATTGGCTGACAAATTGACTGTGAAGAAAACTCAGGGTGGTCAGACCGTTCTGCTTTAGACTAAGAAGGCTCCATTGCTTGTCAGCTTCTTTAACCATTGGGAGGTTTGAGGCATTTTAATTCTTCATAGAACCTGTCCTCTCTCTAGAGGTTTTTAGGCTATTCTGTGTAACTGGTGTCTAGAAATCCCAGGGATGTGTTTCAGGTGAATCTGTCATCAGTCTCTGGACAGACAAGGTTATCTCAAACAGAAAGCCTGTGCTCCCACAGCCCTCCCAGCTTCACTCAGGTTCTGGCAGATGATAACTACAATGAGAGGCACAGGAAGAAGCTGTGAGAACAGGACCCAACTGGATAGGGAGGGCTAATAGCCACTAACAATTCAGAGGCAAGGCAGTTGGGATACGAAGCCTCTGAAAACAGTAGGGTCTCCAGGTGGCGGTGGTGCCCACCTTTAATCCTAGAACTCAGGAGGCAGAGGTAGGTGGATCTCTGTGAGTTTGAGGCCAGCCTGGTCTACGCAGTGAGTTCCAGGACAGGCTCTAAGCCACACAGAGAAACCCTGTCTCGACAAAACCTAAAAGAAAGAAAGTAAAAAGGAAAGGAAAAAAAAAAGTAGTATGGCCAATTTTATGGGTGTAAAAGATGAAACAAAAACAAAAAGCAAACTGGAGAGGAGGTGAGACGGCTGAGGAGAACCAGGAATTCAAGGCTGGCCTAGGCTACAGGAGACCTTGTGGTGGTTTGAATAAAAATGTCCTTAGTGTAGATGTTTGAATACTTGGTCCCCGGTTGGTAGCACTATTTGGGTAGGTTTAGAGGTGTAGTTTTCCTAGAGGAAATACATCATGGGGGGCGGGCTTTGAGGTGTGAAAGCCACAGGCCATTCCAGATTCACTCTCTGTGTCTTGTGCTTGAGTTTAAGATGTGAGCTCTAAGTTCTCAGCTTTAGTCACCACGTCTGCCACCTGCTGCCGTGTGACCTCCTTCATTATGGACCCTAATGCTCTGTCGCTGTAGCCTAAACCAACTCTTTCCTCTATAAACTGCCTTGGCCAAGATGTTTTACCACACCAGTAGGAAAATAACTAATAAGTCCCCTTGCAAAACAGGAAGAAACATCAGTTGTACCTATTTATTGTCACAATATTGCATTACAATATTTTCTGGCAAACAGCTAAGATAAATGTTGAGCACATGTATGTGGAAAAAAAGTCCCAGGCATCACTGAAACAACTGCAATTTTATTCAAATTCTTAGGCAAAAAGATTTATCAGCATCAATTTCAATCATGAAATTTCCCATTTCTACAATGTTGAAACACAAAAAATATTAATATAAATGTTCATATGTTGCAAGGAAATGACAATTTTAGAAAATAGCACAATGTTGCAAGGAGTCACTTGTTCGTCCCAGCCTCCCAGAACCAAAATAATCACACAGAAACTGTATTAATGAAATCACTGCTTGGCCCGTTAGCTCTAGCTTGAATCAAGAGCAGAAATATACATATAACAAAATTGACCTAAAATTTGTACCAATAAACCAAGATCCATACCAATATAAATCTCTGTAGCAGCACAAAGCACAGAGTAGTGGTGGTGCACATCTTTAACCCCAGCACTCGGGAGGTTGAGGCAGGTGTATCTCTAAGTTTGAGGCCAGCCTGATCTACAGAGTGAGTTCCAGGACAGCCAGAGCTACACAGAGAAACACTTTCTTGGAAACAAAAAGGAGAAGAAGAAGAAGAAGGAGGAGGAGGAGGAGGAGGAGGAGGAGGAAGAGGAAGAGAAGGAAGAAGAGGAAGATGAAGAAGAAGAAGAAGAAGACGAGGAGGAGGAAGACGCGAAGCAGGAGGAGAAGGAAGAAGAGGAAGAGGAAGATGAAGAAGGGGAGGGAGAGAGGGAGGGGGGAAGGAGAGGAAGAAGAGGAAGAAGAGGGGAAGAGGGAGGGGGAGGAGGAGGAGGAGGAGGAGAAAACAGCACAAAGCTGACATAACGAGTTTTTCCAGGCTCCAAAACTGAGCCAAGTTACCCTAAGGTTGGTAGCTTGATCAGTCCGCAAACCAATCTCCAGACCTGCTCAGCTTGCAGCAGGGTTCAGAGGTGCTACACAAGCAGAGGGAATATCACTGATTTTAGAGTTGGTCATTATTCAAATCTTCTAACAAGATGACTCCATGTCTAGATCACGCCTGACCATCACAAAGCATCACTGTGAAGAGCTCAGAAATGTTCCAAATGCACAACAAGGAAGTGATGGGAGGTGGGCACCTCAATCACACCAACACGGTCCTCATAGTTCTTCACCTTTGCAGCACGGTGTGGCTCAGTGTATCTAAACTTCCTAAGTCTCTGCTCAAATCACCACTGAGGCCTAACCTAGCCAGAAAGTCTCACAATGTACACAACTTCAGGATTATATAACCATTCCTCTGAAATAACCCATTCTCTACAAAGCTAAGAAATAAAACATCAAGGGATCTTAAGCAAGTGCAGCCATGGAGTAAATGGGAAGAATTCATGAAGAAAAGACAATGGAGAATCATGAACTCCTTAGAAAAGTTGGAATCTGGTCACCTGACTCTGAGGCACTTCCCTCAGAGCAGTGACGCTTGTGACGGTGAGACTTGATCTAGACACAGAATCATCTTGTTAGGAGACCCAGCACACTCAGAGGAGACTCTGCCCTCTGGCCAGTTCATTTGCTGAGATTCCTCATTATGTTGAGAGAGGATCCTCTGTACCCAGATCCAAAATGATTCCAGTGGTTCAGGTAGTGAAAGAGCTGATACAGCTGTAAGCGCTTATCAAATCCTGGGGCTTTAGGGATTTTGCTATGATAGGCAGAGTAAAAGGAGCTGCTGAAGCCCCCGAACATGCCAGCTATTGCCAGCTCATACTCTGAGTGGCCATAGAAGGAAGCCGGATCAAAAATTATGGGCCCAGAGGAATCTTCTGCTACGTTCCCTCCCCAGAGGTCTCCGTGAAGTAAGGAGGGCACAATTTCCAGGTCACGAAACAGGTCAGGAATCTTCAACTGCAAGGAGAAAGATGGAGTCTTAGACAAGGCGGTCAATGAATATGGAGGTGTAGGTGTCCTCCTAAGTGCTGTTCCACAGATCTATCTGAGCCATTACTCAGATGTGTCTGATTTAGAGACAGCAGATGGAGCAATGTTGTGAGAAATACAATCAGCGCTACCCATGCCTTGGTGCTCCCCCTATCAGTGCTCAGTGGGCACTGTTGGCACTGGGTGTACAGTGAAGCCCCTGCTCACCTGCAGAGCAGACCACAGCTCAAGAGCTTCCCGGTCTCCGGACCTCTTCTCCACCATGTCCATCTGGGGTTGAATGCGCTGACTGGCATAGAATGTGACCCAGTCTTTCTGCCAGTCATTTACCTGCCCAGGAGAGAGAATAGGACAAGGCAGACTGTCTTAGTTAGGGTTTCTGTTGCTGTGATGAAACACCATGACCAAAAAGCAAGGTTGGGGAGGAAAGGGTTTATTTGGCTTACACTGCAGCGTTGCTGTTCATCACTGGAGGAAGGCAGGACAGGAACTCAAACAGGTCAGGATCCCAGAGGCAGGAGCTGACACAGAGGCCATGGAGGAGTGTTGCTCACTGGCTTGCTTCCCATGACTTGCTCAGCCTGCTTTCTTATAGAACCCAGGACCTCCAGCCCAGGGATAGCACCACCCACCAAGGGCTGGGCCCTCCCTCATTGATCACTAAATGAGAAAATGCATTACAGCTGGATCTTAAGGAGGCATTTTCTCAACTGAGGCTCCCTCCTCTGTTGTCAAGTTGACAGATTTTACAGAAAACTTCAGAACTGAAGGAGACTTGAGTGCCCAGAACTCCCAAAGTAAAATGAGCTGCAGGAAGCATGAAGAGGAGCGGCAGTCACAGGAGGCGCAAGAGCGGAGGGATGACTGGAGGGATGACCAGGGGGATGGCCAGGGGGATGGCCAGGGGGATGACCAGGGGGATGACCAGGCAGCATGAAGTCTCAACATAGGCTGAGACTGTAGGTCCAGCGTCCCCGGGGGAATGGTCAGCAGGGTGGGCCGGGTGACTAGCCGGGTGAGCCTTCCAGGACTGAAGATCAACTCAAACAATTTAACTACAACTATGGAACAAAGGCCTGAGCTGTTGACCCTCTGGATCTCAGGGCTTGTTTCTGACCATCTACCTGACCACATTTTACCATCATAAAACATCTAGTGTAATAGGAGGCCACTTGTTTGTTCCCGGCTGTCCAGACTCCCGAAATAACCACACAGAAACTGTATTAAATAAATCACTGCTTGGCCTAATAGCTCTAGCTTCTTATTGACTAACTCTTACATCTTAATTCAACCCATTTCTATTAGTCTGTGTATTGCCACGTGGCTGTGGCTTATCAGCAAGGTTCTGTCGCTGTCTGTCTCTGGCGGGGCTACATGGTATCTCTCTAGTCCACCTTCTTTCTCCTAGAATTCAGTTTAGTTTTCCCCGCCTAGCTCCATTCTGCTAAGCCACTGGCCAAAACAGCTTCTTTATTCATTAACCAATAAAAGCAACACATATACAGAAGGACTTTGCACATCAATCTAGTTTGGCTTTTTTTATTTTGTTTTGTGTTTTGTTTTGTTTTTCAACATACAGTTTCTCTGTGTAGCCTTGGCTGTCCTGGAACTCTCTCTGTAGACCAGACTGGCCTCAAACTCACAGAGATCTGCCTGCCTCTGCTTCCTAAATACTGGGATTAAAGGCATGCACCACCACCATCCAGCCATAAAACATTTAGAAGTTTCTATTTCTAGATTCTACATTCAGACCTCTAGGCAAAGAGCTTTCCTGGTTTCCTTTTTGTAACTGTGATAAAAAATACCCTCATTAAGCCATTCTTAGGGGTACTTTTGGTTTGTTTGTTTTTTATCTTAAAATTCCAGATGATGTTCCATCATTTCAGGAAGGTCAAGGCAGACAGGAACAGCTCTTCACATCCGGAGTCAAGCAATGGTGCTGACCAAATTTAGGGTGGGTCTTCCTACATCAATTAACCCTACTAAGAAAATTTGTCACAGGGCTGCCCACAGGCCAACCCAATTCAGATAATTTCTCACTGTGACTCTCTGCCCAGGTGATTCTAGATTGTAACAAATTGACAATAAAAATGGTCACAACTGTCATCCAATCTACTTTGTACTTGTTGGACATCAGGCAGGACTTCCCAGGCAGGAACTCCCAGAGAACAGACATAAACCATGAACATGAAAGGTATAATGCCCGGTCAGTGTGCTGTCTTTGAGAGTTTAGTACTTCAGTAACTAGAGGGGAGTGGACCTAAGACCTCTGCTCACAGTAAAACCCTCAGCTGTCAGGTCCTTAAGTAAAACAATGTACTTTACACAGAACCCACATTCTTCCTGTCATATACTTACACCATCTCCTCGTTACTTATGATACTAACTGAGGAGATGGCTTAGCATTAACAGGGCTTGCTGCTCTTGTAGCAGGCCAGAGTTCAGGTCGCAGCACCTGATGTGGGTGTTTTATTACCACTGGTTAATAAAGAAGCTGATCTGGCCATTAGTCAGGCAGAATAGAGGTGGGAAATCCGAGCAAAGAAACAGGGAGAAGGTGGAGCCTGGGAGGAGCCAGCAGAAGCTGGAGAAGCAAGATGTGAGGTAACAAGCCACAAGCCTCATGATAAAATATAGACTAATTAAAAATGGGCTAATTTAGTTGTAAGAGTTAATAATACCCTGAGCTAACAGGCCAAACAGTTTCTAATTAATATTAAGCCTCTGAGTGATTATTTTAAAAGGGGATCATGACTGAGTGGGATACAGAAAAGCTGCAGTTACAAGCACCCACTTCAGATTACTCACAACCACTTGTGACTACAGTTCTAGAAGATCTAATTCCTTCTTCTGCCTCAGTAGGTAAGCGCGCGCGCACGCACACAATACATAAAATAAAAAAATTTTTAAAAATAAGTTGGGCATAGTAGCAAACACCTTTAATCCCAAGAATTGGGAGGCAGAAACAGGCAGATGTCTGATGTGGGATTCCCCTCTGGATGCTGTGAATATGTTTTATTACCAACAGTTAGTAAAGAAGCAGAATAAAGCCAAGTGGGAAATCTAAACAGAAATATAGAGAGAGAGTAGGAAGAGTCAAAGAGATGCCATGTAGCTGCCAAAGGAGAAAGATGCCGGAACCTTACAGGTAGGCCACACCCTTGTGGTGATACATAGATGAATAGAAATGGGTTAATTTAAGATGTAAGAGCTAGGTAGAAATATGCCTGAGCCATCAGCCAACAGTGTTGTAATTAATATAGTTTCTGTGTGATTATTTGGGTCTGGGCAGCCAGGAAACCGACGCGTAGTCTCCATTTACAAAATGGTGCCCAAAGTGGGGCATGGATATAAGAAGACTTTAAAAAGCTTTAAAAAATAAAAAAGGCTTCTAGACCCACAAAAATTGGAGTAAACTGGAACTTCTTGGTAGCTGCATTTTTTCAGATAGACTCTGTTTGCCTGCAGTGAGCAGAGGCACGGCTTCTTTAAGCTGGATTCCTGGTTTGTACTGGCAACGTGAACAGCTCTGGCTCTTTCAGGAGGTCTTGTTATGGGGTACTTGAATGAGTTTGTGAGCAGCATGTTACTAGTTGCTTAATGGCGGTGACACAGACCTGCTGTGTCCTGCAGCTGGAGCGGTGAGCATGGCTTGCAGGAGAAGTGAACATACCTCCACGATGCTGGACTGGGCAGAGCCAACAGGCAAAGCCATAGCATTAATTCTAGCCACATTTCAAAAAATAAAATAAAATAAATAAAATAAAACTCTCCTGGTCAGAAGATGATTAACAGATACACAGTAAGACAGATTCAGAATGGGTCACAGTGTTGGATAAATGTATATGGGCTTAAGAGAGAGAGAAGAAAAAGTACAGTCATGGATTAAAGGAGTAAAGGTAATAAAATGAATATTAAAAATGTAATAGAGTAAAAAATTTAAGCCATGTAAAGATGAAATATACACAAAGAATCTGGATTATGTGTATTATTGTGTATTCTTTGAATTTTTTTTTTTACTGTAAATGAGCTAACTACAGAGAGACATTTCATTGTACAGGCTGTTAAGTTAAACCAACATATATATTTTAAAGGTATCTTGGCTTCAAAATTAGAGTCTAATATGTTACTTTGGAAAAAAGGTTCTGCTTTTGTTTCCACAGAAGAGGAAAACTATGGATTCCTTCCAGGCTAATGTGGTTTGATGGAACAAGGTTCCCCTGAAGGTCTCTGTGAACACTAAAATATTTCACCCAACAAACGACAGGAAGTAGTTTGGAGAAAACTATATCCAAACTCCCAAAATGATTGTTTATGAATGTTTGTTTTCATTTAAAGGGGGATATGATATGGAAATGAATACTTTACATTGGTATGGACTTTGATTTATTGATATAAATTTAAGGTCCAGTTGTTAAATGTATATTTCTACTCTTGTTTAAGGTATCATATTTCTACAATTCATTTAAAATGTAACATATAATTTAAAATTACAGATTAATACATAGTCATTTATAATAGTCAAACTTGTAGTCATGTTAGTTAGGTTTTCTAGATATATAGAGACAGAGTTCAGTTAGATAGATAATCTTCAATACTTCAAAGACCTACAGAATATGGCATTTAAAATGTTTTAAGAACTTAGACTTTAAGAACTTGACAGTGAGACATGTCTGCTTCTGGAAGCATCAGTTACTTCAGAGAGGTTGATAGGCATTGAAGAAACTCATTATGGAATTTGCCTTCATGTGACAAGGCTAGCCATTGGGCAAGAAACTGCTCTTGCCTGGACTGCTTGATGGCATGCTGTATGAACTGGACATGCAGGACCCACAGAAAAATGACTGTTGAACTTGTCTAAAGAAGGTGAGACAGTCCTTCAGAGTTCTGGTTCATGAAAGTGTCTGCCAGACATTCTGCAAAACACAGAAGAAAGTGACAGGCAAACTGCCAATATAGGTGGAAATGTCTTTGAAATTTCCTGCTTCATGGAAAAGTCTGCTAAATACTATGGGCCTGTAGGCTGAAGATGGATGTCCCAATATTACAGAAGAACTTTGGATGACAATCCAGGCAATGAGATGTCTCTGTCAATTCTAGAGTTTTGAAAGTTGTTTACAATGCACTTCCTGTTTACTTAGGTAATACTATATCCTTCTGGCATCTTTAATGGAGTTGAAGACAGTTATAGCTTTTTGTAGTTAGGATAAAGGGTAAATTAGATATGAAACTTTAGACTCAAAGATAAAATGGATGAGAGAGTAAAACTTTCATTTTTATTTAGACAGAAATGGGGAGATAATGTGGAATTCCCATCTGTATGCTGTGAATATGTTTTATTACCAATGGTTAGTAAAGAAGCTGCTTTGGCCTATGGCAAGGCAGAATACAGCCAGGCAGGAAATCTGAACAGAGAAATAGAGTAGACCGAGTCAAAGAGATGCCATGTAGCTACCAAAGGAGAAAGATGCTGGAACCTTACTGGTAAGCCACAGCCTCATGGTGATACATAGATTAATAGAAATGGGTTAAGATGTGAAAGCTAGCTAGGAATATGCCTGAGCCATCAGCCAAACAATGCTGTAATTAATATAGTTTCTGTGTGATTATTCAGGTCTGGGTGGCTGGGAAACTAATGTGTAATCTCCATTTACAGACATTTACAAGTTCAAGGCCATCTGGTCCACATAGTGAGTTCCAGGCCAGTCAAATCTACATAGTGAGATCTTGTCTCAAAACAAACAAACAAATAAATAATTATAAGGAAAATAAAACAAAAGTTACAGATTTTCTCATTTTTGCTTGTGAGCCTAGCCTTTAACGGCTGAGCCATCTCTCCAGCTCCAGATTTTCTCATTTTTAACCCTTCCTTGAAATCTAACATCCTAACTTTTTGTTCTGTCTCATTCTTCATCTTAATCTAACATGTGAGTTTACTTCATGTCAACTTCTTAAAAATTATCAGGAAAAAAATGGTGCAAAGACTTACAAAATCTCCCAGAAAGGAGTAGGGCAACTTCCCTACTGTGTCTGAATATCCAGTCTGACCGTGAAATGGAAGGAAGTTCTGTGCCACTCACCTGGGGGAGGTACCCACAGCATGTCACTACATCAAATCCAAACTGGTCCACAAAGGGCCGCTCTGCCTGTCCACTTCCTTTCCCTTTCACACAAAAAGAAACAAAGAAAGGTGACTAGTTTGTCCCCTTGTCCCAAAAGACCCTCAGCAACCCCCGCCCGAGCTCAGAGCTGTTCCTTTGCAGTCAGTATGCCATTACCACCCCATGCTTGCTCCCAGAGATAAGCAAGGCCCTCAGATCACTCAGAATAGCATCTGCTTTAGCAAACTTAATAACCAAGGACACTAACTATTCCAGAAGCAGAACCAAGTACCAGAGAATGCATGGGGATGGAGGGATACAAAACATTGACAAAAATAAATAAAACATGCATTTGTTTAGAAAGGAAAAAATATCTACCACACAATTCATCAGGAAAAGAGGTTTTTCATTGGCAAATGTAGTTCCATTTTTGACAGATAAAATTATTATATTTGCTGGGTCGTGGTGGTGCACACACCTTGAATCCTAGCACTAGGGAGGCAGAGGCAGGCAGATCTCTAATAGTTCGAGGCCAGCTTGGTCTACAGAGTGAGTACCAGGATAGCCAAAGCTACACAGAGAAACCCAGTCTCAAAAAATAAACAAACAAAAACCTATTACACTTTGAAACGGCATCAAACTCATGTGTCTCTCCAAACTCAAGACCCATGCAGCCTGGAAGCAACAGGAAAGCCAGTTAATGGGCCTATTAGTAGATCCTCACCGTACAAAGAGACAGGCTGATGGTATTACCAGTATATCATCACAGGATGGGCAGGCTGCCAGGACCCACCAGTAGAACATGACACAGTAGACCGGATTATCTGCTTTCTGACTATCAGCTATTCTGTCTAGCAGAGTTAGCATGTGAATTACCAACTGTCAGCCTGAAAATCCTGGAAAATTCTCTCAATGCTAACACCATAGCATTGTTCTATGATGGGGGGCATTAGGGCCATCATTCTGAGTCTCAAGAATGGTGTGTACATGGAAGAGACAACAATGTGTTTAAAGGAGTCACTTTATACTGAAAGCTAAAACAACTTCAATTAGACTCCCTTCTGGAGAGTTAGACATAAAGCAACCATAACATCACACAGCTTCACATCCAGCGATACTTCCTGTCTTTCAGTGTGTCTAAGACACACTGTGCCCATCACATCCACGGTGTTCACTGCACAGCAAATGTGCTTTGGCATCAGCACAGGCTACAGCACTACCCCATCCCTGAGCCCATGCTGGCTGAAGGCCCTTCTCCAGAGAGGGTCCCTTACCCACGGTGCCAGCCTCCTTCAGGAGCCCCTCTCCAAGCTTCTTGTTCTCAAGGTGCAGATCTGCAAGCTGGGACCCAAGCTTGGCAGCATGACTAAAACCAAAATGCAGGAACTAAACAGATGACACACAGACAGCAGATCCATCTGAAAGATCTCAAGGCACATAAAGCAGGTCAAACATTGAGCATAAAGTTCATCCTACTGGAGGCTGGAGAGAGGACTCAGTTAAGAGCACTGGTTATTCCTCTAGAGGGCCTGGGTTCAATTCCCAGCACCCACATGGCAGCTCAAAACTGTCCAGACGGATCCAGTTCCAGGAATCTATCACACCAGGCATGCATGTGGTACACATATCTGTGCTGTGCATGCAGGCAAAATACCCATGCACATAAAATAAAATAAATAATTTTTTTTTAAAAAAAAAGTTCATTCTACTGAAATAGGAGGAAAACTAGGTATGGAGGCACAATAGCAAGAATTCTAGGAAGGAAGAGGCAAGAGGATCAAGCCTCAGCTGTACAAGACTGTTTCAAAATAAAGAAACAAAATTGAAATAAGAGATTCCCGTTATTTGACCTCCTTTTCTAGTCTTCTTAGACTTTGCAACAGAGTCTTCTGTAATCATCTCACTTTGAGAGAGCCCTCTCTCTGGCTTTTAGTTGGCAGAGAGGACATGCCAGTCAGACTGTAGGGTCATCATCTATGTAGCCAAGAGATCTTTTTACACCACACCTCAAAATCATGCACCCCCAAAATAAAACAACCACACCAGGGAAAAATAGAGCCTTTGCTTTTAAGCAGAAAGGATGGCGTCAAGACAAACCTGCTCAGGTACCGCATGTCCAGATGCTCCATCACTAGCATACTCCCGCCTCCTGGGGCATCCAGGACCTTGATAGGCTTGGGGACTTTCACTGTGTCTGTCTTCATGATGGCCGTCAAACTTGCCATTTCACCTTCAAACATTCTCCTAGCCTGTCAGTCAAACAATGGAGAGAAAACCGAGGTCAGCAGAGAAAGACCAGTTACACACTTTCTTCAGGCATTACAGTTCCAAACCACATTTATGCCAGAGAGGACTCAAGAGAAGGACAGTGCTTTCTGGGAACTCATGGGAAAAATAAAAGTGCCAAAGTCACACAGGCATAAGAAAGCTTCTATTTCTCAGTTTGGGGCTGCATTTTGTTTGTTTGCTTTGTTTTTCTGAGACAGAGTTTCTCCACACAGCCCTAGCTGTCCTGGAACTCACCCTGTAGACCAGGCTGGCCTCAGACTCAGAGATTCATCTGCCTCTGCCTCCCAAGTGCTGGGATTAAAGGTGTGCACCACCAACGCCTTCTGTTTGTTAGTTTTTTGTGAGATAGGATCTCTGTATACCCTTGGCTGCCCTGGAAGTTGCTATGTAGACCAGGTTGGCCTCAAACTCATTAGAGAACTGCCTGCTTTGCCTCCCACATGTGCCAATCAATGGATCTTGAAGCATCGCCATCACAAGATCAAGAATCCAGATACCAATAGAAATTCCACTCCTTCTCACTCAATAACCATTGCCCACCCCCGGACAGCTCTCTCTACCCTGGCTTCTACCATCAAAGAGCTATTCTGCCCGTTTGGTCATTCTTTTTGTGCTGTTGGGCTTTTGTTGTTGTTGTTTTGTTTTGATGTTTTTATGAGACAGGGTTTTGCTGTGTAGTCCATACTGGCCTCAAACTCACAATCCTCCTGCCTCAGCCTTCTGAGTGCTACTTGATCATTTTACACAGAGGGACATGGGTAGTGGGGTCTGGTGTATTTGTTATGCCTTCACCATGTATACTATTTCACAGTGTGAACATCCCTAACTGAACAGTGCTACCGTGGAAATTCTCCTACTCACTCTCGTAGTTACTACCTCTCTGATCTTGGGCAAGTTACTTAAGCTTTCTTGGCTTCAGTTTCCTCACCTGTAAAACGAGAGAATACTAAATTTCTTAAACTTGGGTTATGATTGAGTTAGCAGCTAACACACAGCTCTTTCTAAACACTCTACAGATGTTATTACTCACTAACAGGGCCAACGTTTCTGAGGAGAAAGATAAGAACTATGTACTAGGCAGAACCTTCACAGAAATCTCTTTAGAATATGAAGGAGAAGCTAAACTTTCACAGAGGTCTTGGTGATAGAGACTGCTTTAAGAGGCAGTATTGAAAAAAATCAGGAGAGGTTTAAAAAGGACTGTGAAGCCATTATGAAGTGGAGATCCTTTTTATGTCATTTACTGTTTAAGTGGTCTGAAGAGTCTAAGCTACAAAAATAGCTACTCATGAACAGACCTATAGGAAAATTAAGCTTCGGTTGGACCACTATGGAAACAAAACAAAATCTGGAAACAAACTAAAATTGAGATAAACCAATCATGTACGTTCACAAGAGTCACATACGAACAGCCAAATGTGGAAAAACTTAGACCAGGTAGATCCTAGCAAGGCATAAAAAAGCAAATACAGGAGCAGCCAGGTAGTCTTAACTCACAGAAAGCAGAACATGAAGAGTTGGATTTCCAACACAACAGTTATATCCACAATCAGCAGATGTTTACCTTACGGCCTGTGTACCTACATCATTCACACGATATATTCCAGAGCACGCAAGAAAAGTATCAAAGGGAGAAGAAGGCTGGAGAATTGAAAATAGACTTTGAAAGACTCCAGCAGCGGGCTATAGGGATGGCTTAGTGGTTAAAAGAGCATACCGCTCTTGCAGAGGGCCTGAATTCAGTTCCCAGCTCCCACATCAGATAGCCCATAACTACCTGTAATTCCAGCTGCAGGAGGATCTGATGCCTTGGTTCCCATGGGCACCACACTCACATCCCTCCCAACATATGCAATCATACATCATCTTTAAAACTAAATAAAGAAGTAAATAAATAAATCTTTTAAAAAAACTCAGCAGTATATGCTGGCCGATATGTGTAATCATACCTAACTTGAGAGGCTGAGGATTCCATAGTAAGTTCCAGGCTAGCCTGGGCTACATATAGAGTGAAACTGTGTCATAAAGAATAAATAAAATAAAATACTTCCTGAGAAAGAGAATGAAACTTCAGATAGGAACTGAACTCAGGACCTCTGCAAAGCAAATCTCTGAGTTTGAGGTCAGCCTGTAGAATATGAAGGCCATCGCGGTCGCACCAAGTACTGGCACTGAGGATAAGTTAGTGCAAGAGTAACTTCAAAGACAGTTGAGAGAGTTCGGCTGATGTCTGTAGACGGGGCAAGTCTTGAGAAAATAATTTCAAAGGTTAACACACATGTGAAAGATAGGATTCTTTTCTTGAAAGAAAAATGAACCTAACCGCAAGCCAGGCTTGTGGCTAAGATCGGTAACCCCAGCAAGAAGCTGGAACAAGAGGATTGCGTTTGGAGGTCAGCCTTGGTTATAGACACCAATTCTAAGGAAAGAATAAAAAAGTACTTTGAGGTGTCTGAGGTGCAGGGCTCGGCAAGAAGATAAACACCTTTAGTCGTATCCAGAAAGTCCTACAGAAGCCATCCACCGCCCTTGCAACCAAGTCCTGGAGAAACCAGCTTAAAATGAAAACGGGACAGCGGCAACCAGGAACACAGCTGAAACAGCGGAGCTCGCCCTGCTGAAGCAATAGGGCAGAAAAAGTACACACACAAACTGAACGTGGTGGGGTGAGTGCATTATGCCTGATACTTTAAGATATTTGATCCGTGAGCTTTAGTCCCTGCGAGTTGAAATAAGCTCTAGATAAAAACGCATGTCCTCTGACGTTTCTCAAAACTCGCCAAACATAAAGGCTTTTCTCATAGAAGTGGACACTGCGGTCTCAAAATACCACAGCATCCGCAAAGCCAGTGCGACCAGAGTGTGCAACGGCAGAGTCTGCAAAGGCCCGAGGCCAGAGGGAGACCGCCGGGGTATGGCGGTCACGCGTGGACGGCGGCCAGACAGAGCCTATGGTTGCACACTGGGACTCTAACCCTACCCACACCACGGACCTAGACCCAGAGCTAGGGCTCCGGGCGGCTCGGGATCTCAGCCACACATCCTGCACCCAAGCCAGGCCCCATTTTAGCCCCGGGCCAAGGAGCCGCCGGACCCAGCACCGGTGGTCCTACCTCTGCCTTGGAGTTCACTTTCACAAACACTCGTCCTCTGTCCGTGTCGTAACTCTGGCCCTGGCTAATGCACCCGCCTCCCGAGTGACCCGTAGCTTTGACCGAGCTGTAGCCCAGCTCCCGCTTCAGCACCGTCTCCATGGCAGTTGCGGGACAGCAAACCTGCTTCAGGCCTGCAGCCGAAGCGGGTAGCGCGGCGGGGCGGGGCCGACATGGGACAGTAATGGGATTGGGTGACGAGGAGGAAGGGGCGGGGACACCGTTGGAGGGGCGGGATCTGATTGATTGGCAAGGCCACACCCACAGGTTCACTCCGGCTGCTGGGGGGCTGGAACTGGGAAGTGGGTGTGGGGCCCAGCCTGGTGGCCCCCTCCACGTGCTAACCTCTTTTCCATTCAAACTGCTTCAAAATAGTTCCCGAACTGTTGTGAAGACAGAGGGAGGTTGCTCCCGCCTCTGGACTCTACCCAACCCAGCAGAACTGCCCGTGAAACCGTTAGTGAGGTGAAGCCTCTAGGGATCTGCAGAGGGCGATGCAATCCCTTCTCAGGCTGTGCTTTCCTTGCTATGTCCCTGCCCTCTGGTGGGAGACACAGATAAGCTAGGTGACGAGCAATGTACAACACACAGCGTTGTTCCTTCAAAGGAAGGGAGACATAACCTGTGAGCAGACGTGGGTAAGAGCCTGGTGACCTTTGAGCTGTATGATTGAGACCACACCGGATCCTTCCCTACACCCTTAAGAGCTTTTCTATCTATAGAACCTATCTTGTTTTTGTTTTTGTTTTTGTTTTTTTCAGACAGGATTTCTCTGTAGTTTTGAAGCCTGTCCTGGAACTAACTCTTGTAGACCAGGCTGGTCTCGAACTCACAGAGATCCACCTGCCTCTGCCTCCCGAGTGCTGGGATTAAAGGCATATGCTACCACTGCTTGGCTCCAAAGTCCATTCTTAAAAGGCCACGTGGGAGCCGGGTGGTAGTGGTGCATGCCTTTAATCCCAGCACTTGGGAGGCAGAAGTAGGCAAATCTCTGAGTTCGAGCCAGCATGGTCTACATGGCTAGTTCCAGGACAGCTAGGGCTGTTACACAGAGAAACCCTGTCTTGGAAAACAAAACAAAAAAGAAAAAAAGAAGTCCACATGGGGTTGAAAAACCATTCATGTAACTGCCTTGCCCAAGATCTGGAGATTTAATGTGTTCCTTCAAAATTCATAGATAGAATTACTAATCCCTTCATAACTAGTTTAGGGATGGTGCCTTTAAGGATTAAAATTGAATGAACTCATGGAGAGGAGCCATAATCCAAGGGGATCAGTGGGTAACTCCATAAATAGAGACACCAAAAAGCTTACTCTCACTGTGTCTCTGAGTATATCAGGAACAAGCCATGGCAGAACACAGCAGGAAATCAGTTCTCTCTGGACCAGAAACAGGAGAGTTCTTCCCAACTCTACTATCAGTGATCTCAGACATCCAGCCTCAGGAAGTCTGAAGATAAACTTTCTGTTGTTTAAACCTGGGTAGTGTGGCATCCCAAGTCACCTAATACAGGAAAGAAGCAAAGATCTCAGGTGTCTTGAGTGTACTAGAGGCAGCAGCGGGCAATGGATGGATAAAGACAGGTGCTGGCATTACCAGATGCACATAATGGGACAGCTACGCCTTTCATGTTAAAAAAGGAAGAATTAGGGGCTTAAGAGATGGCTCAATGGTTAAGAGCACTTGCAGCTCTATCAGAGAACCCAGGTTCAGTTCCCAATACCCATATGGCAACTCACAACTGCTTGTCACCCCAGTTCTAAGGGATCCACCTCCTCTTCTGACCTCCATGCCTCTACTTCATATATACTCATTAAGGAAAACACTCATACACACAAAATAAAGATTTTTTTAAAGTCAAGTTTGAAAATGTAGAGAAGAAGAAAGTGCCAAAGACTGGTACAAATGACGAAAAGGAAATTTAAGTTAAAAACAATAAAACAATATTTGCATAGTAAAATACTGATGTGGAGGCAGACTGTTTAATCTTGGTGTAAAACTGTGGAACTCTTCTGTGCAGACTAAACTGGCTTCAAATTCAGAGATCCATCTGCTGCTGCTTCCGAGTGCCGGGATTAAAGGTTTGCACTACCATGCCCAGCTCTAGTGAAATCTGTTTTATTTTGTTGGTGGTGTTGTTTTTCAATACAGGGTTTCTCTGTGTAGCTATCCTGGAACTCATTCTATAGATCAGGCTGGCCTTGAACCGAGAGATCTGCCTGCCTCTGCTGTTGTGTGATGGGTTTTTTTTTTTTGGCTTTTTGAGGAGACCACCACCCAGCTCCCAGATAAATCACACACAGAGGTTTATTCTTAGTTATGAGTGCAAGGCCTTAGCTTGGCTTGCTTCTTGCCAGTTTTTCTTAACCTAAATTAACTGACTTCCCTTTGTTTCTGGGCTTTTATCTTTCTCTATTTCTGTATGCCTTTCTTTACTTCTTTCTCCGTGGCTTGCTGCGTAGCTGGGTGGCTGGCCCCTGGTGTCCTCCTCTCCTTGTTCTCACATTTGTTCCTTGCTCCTCTCATTTTTTTGGTTCTTTTTCTATTTATAGTCTCTGTCCACTGGCCCTGCCTATTCTTGCTTCTGCTTTGCTATTGGCCTCTTTATTAGGACCATCAGGTGTTTTAGACAGGCACAGTAACACAGCTTCACAGAGTTAAACAAATGCAGCGTAAGCAAAAGTCACACACTGAAAACAATATTCCCCAACACCCTGCCTCCCAAGTTCTGGGGTTAAAGGCATGTGTCTCCACTACCCAGCTCAAAGCAAAGTATTTTTAGACCTATATGTAGATCAAACACAGATGAAGAGAGAATCACTAAATATGAACACAGAAAAATTACTGATACTGTGGCATAGAGAAACTAAAAGAGAAATTGTGGGAGAGATTAAGAGACATAAAGATGTTGTAGAAAGACCACTTAATTGTTCCTGGCTGCTCAGCCCCGAAATAACCACACAGAAACTATATTATTTGCAATACTGTTTGGCCAATAGCTTAAGTGTATTTCTGGCTAACTCCTATAACCTAAACTAACTCATCTCCATTAATCAGTGTATTGTCACGTGACTGCGGCTTACTGGCAAAGTTCCAGCATATCTGTCTCTGGCCGCAACTCCATGGCTTCTCTTTGACTCCACCTTCTTTCCCCAGCATTCAGTTTAGTTTCCTTGCCCTATTCTGCCCTGCACAGACCCAAGACAGTTCTTTATTAAACAATGGTATTCGCAGCATACAGAGGGGAATCCCACATCGAAAAGGGAGGGAGGACACTAAGTGAAAATGACTGACATGGAATGGGGAGCAGGTCAGACATGGGGAGCAGGTCAGGCATGGGGAGCAGGAGAACAACCCCAAGGTCATGTGTACACCATCATCCTAATAACATGTCAGAGTCCATTTATAGACGGTCTCAAATTTTAACATGGCACCCAATGGTCAGCGAAAAATAATGAGCCATAAGCCTGAACTTTTTTGTTTTGTTTTGCAGACCAGGCTGGCCTTCAACTCACAGACATCTGCCTGCCTCAGCCTCCCAAGTGTTGGAATTAAAAGCGTGTGCCACCACTGCTTGCTTGCCAGCCAGCCTGAATTTAATAAAGAAGAGAAATGGGAAATCTGGAAAACTTTTAGGCTCTTTGATACTGATGGAACTGAAACTACAGACATCAAGAAACTAAACGTGGCAATGAAGCCCTAGGCTTTAAATTCAAAAAGAAAGAAAAGAAATCAAGAAAATGATAAGCAAAATCGATAAGGAAGGTACAGGGAAAATAGACTCCAGTGACTTTTTGATGGTGATGGCTCAGAAAATGTTTGAGAAAGACACCCAGGAAAAAATCCTGAAAGCTCTCAAGCTCCTTAGCAATAGCAAAACTTGGAAAATGTCATTTAAAAATCTGAACCATGTGGCCACAGAGTTAAGTGAGAACTTCACTGAAGGGGACCTGCAGGAAGTAATTCATGAAGTTGACTGAGACGGCGATGTCTAAGTCAATGAGTCAGAGTTCCTGCCCATCAGTAAGAATCAGCGACGATTAATCAGGGTTTCTTTTTCTACTACTGTGAGCACGTGTGACTACAGCTAGTGTCTGCTATTGTGTGAAATCTGGCTTTTGAGAACACGCCTACCACACCCCCACTGCACCCCTAGACTTCCGTGGTAACTTTAGCCATGGCCTTGAATCTGTTTTTGGCCTTTGGAAGTGTTCTTTGTTATTAAATTCCTTGTACACTTATCTGCTGATTAGCTCAGGAGGGAGAACAAGAGCACACAGAAAGTGTGACCGAGGCCACACCGCCTTCTATTATTTCTCATTGCTCGTGCATTTCCACACAGCTGCAAATCCACAATGGCTTTTTAGACATCCATGTACCCATGTCACTATAAGCAGTAGGCTTTGTATGATTATGCGACACCTGAGTGAAGTTTTCTCTTTTATAAGACCTGAGGAGCCGGGCAGTGGTGGCACACACTTTTAATCCCAGCTCTTGGTTGGCAGAGGCAGGAGGATCTCTGTGAGTTCGCGGCCAGCCTTGTCTACAGAGTGACTTCCATGATAGCCAGGACTGTTACACAGGGAAACCCTGTCTCAAAACAAGCAAACAACAAACAAACACCCAGTGAGTGAGGGCTTGCTGTGGTGTTTGGATGTGTGTTAATGAATTTGTTTTGTTTTAAAAATAAAATCTTTCTTAGTTAAGGATCTCAAAAAGAAAAAAAAAGATTGACATGCTCTAGAACAGGTAAAATACACCATCCCTTTGACTTAAGGTCCCAGAAACATCACTATTGTTTTGACACAGAGTCTCTAAAGCAAGACTGGCCTCCAATACACCTTGCCTCAGCCTCATAGATGCTGAGATGGTAGACATATGTATGCCACCATATGCTGTTTTTTTACCCTTTTAAGATTTATCCTCCCTCCCACCATCCCTCCCTCTTCCCCTACCCCCACTCTGTGTGTGTCTGTGTGTATCTGTCGGGAGTATGTGCACAGGAGTGCCCGTGTCTACAGGATGCTCCTGGTGCTGGAATCACAAGCCTTCATAAGCCTTCAGAAGTGGTTACTGGGAAAGAATTGGGCTAACTGCTGAGCCCTCTCTCTAGCCCCAGAGAAACACCATAAAGTAAACAAACGAAAAGATGTCCATTCTTGGACAAAT